ACTGGCTCAGGGAAAAGAAGCAAGTTATTAAAAGAGTGTAGAAAAGAAATTAAACATTATATTGCTTAATGATGCAAATACTAATAATATGAAGAGCTCATATGACAGATATAAATACTAATAATATGAAGAGCTCGAACCATTAGTTTGTTTGAAACAACAAATACGCGCTATTTAGTTCCGAAAAAAAATATATCATTTCCTATGGATAATATTAATATACTCGTACATTTCTCATTGCGGGTTTGGTACGGTGGGTAACGGACTTTAGTTTTCAAAACGATCGACCTCCGCCCGTATTTCTATTATGCTAATTCTTAATAATAGTTTATATCTAAACGTACGTCTTCGGATGGCCCGATTGTCGATTGTCTCTTACTCTTTATGTGGAACAATGAGATTGGGTAACAGAAATAGTTTTCATTCGGTCGCTTCAAAACTGTAGATATAATCATCATCCGTCTATTCTTTCAAGATCACTGTTCGTACAATGGAATAAAAAGATTTGAATCTAATTATTGTCTATTAAACAGTGCAAACATAACACGGTATATTATTGTAAAATATACTTTACCATCAGCCTATTATCAGAACGCCCCGCTGCTGAGTCTCTTCTAAATTTAGGTCCGTTTAAGGGTGGAAACTACCTCCGCTCTAGTTAAAATTTTTCCCGTAGTGAATCGGTTCTAATGCCCGTGTCGAGGGGCAGGGACACTGGCTTTATTTCAGGGTGCCTACCACAACCTCTTAAAACAATATTACTTTAACCTTACATTGAGATTTCGTACCATGACGCGCGTAAAGTGAGTTTATTATTATGTTAAAACTATGTTTTATTGGCAGCTTTGTAACTATTCATTCAATCAGTTCGTACTATAACGCGACTTTAATTTTAAAGTAACATTGTTCATAAGTCAAATTTAGCAATCTTATAATAGTTACTCGGACGCAGTGGGAACAATATTATTTTCGTATTCATTGTCTAAATATTGATTTGTAATGATTAAAAGTTAAGTGGAACTTATTTATTTACATAAATCTCTTCAATATTTTGTTTTATTTTTTTATTTAATAGTACATACGAAATAATTCTCGTTAAATGAAAATACGAGATGTTTATTTCGTAAAATTATGACAGCGACATCTATATGCTCCTTGGCGACACTAACAGTTGACAGTAGATCATAATTTCGAATTCATGAAAATGCGGAAAAATAATTGAAAACAACGTAATTCTAATAGATTTTATTATTACATGCTTTTTTAAGTTAAAATTCTCTGAATGTAAATAACATTAAGTACTTACACATTATAATATGATAAGACGATTCAGAACGTCAAAAAGAAACAGAAGGAATTATATAGTTGATATAGCGTTATTTCTTTCCTATTTTTAATAAGCAATAGGCAATACTGGGAAATCATTCGTTCTTTCAATCACTTTAAGCAATAATACATTACTTGGTTAACAGATTTGTCATGGTACGAATATGAGTAATATTACAATAAGCTTACTTTAAGCTTACATTGAAGTAAGTACTTATGCATCAGTGGCCGAACGGTTACCATACCTGACTACCACGCAGTGGTTCCAGGTTCAGTTCCCGGGCCGGGAGAAATATTTGTATGGCCTACATTTATTTCTCTCGTGAGTTTGGGTGTAATTTGTATTTCTCTGTGTGTGTGTCCATGGCACCCGCGACACAGGATTTTCCTAGGCTATGTTGAGTGTGTGCGTTATTACTATTATTAAGATTGTTTTTGGAAAGGTTATAATAGACCCCATAATTTGAAAAATGAATGTCATACTATACGTGTTCTATTGAGTTCAGTTGATATAAATGAATACAGCACTATTATAGTAAAATTTCGAGGTATGTTTTTGTATCGTGAAAATTTTTAGGCATCGTATTTTCAAACCGTATGCTAATCAGTGTATATCCTCAATTATATTATAAATTTTTTCCAAAGTGATTCAACACTCACTGTTATCCGGAATCAACCAAAGCCATTTGAGGTTGTATTGATTCTTAAGCTCATCATACCTTTTCCAAGGGCTGTTCAACATTGCATCAAATTACAGACCTTCTACTTAATAGACTACCGTCTAGGGTCTAGGGATGCCACTCTCGCTCCAACTATTGTACCGCCAAATTAGACCAGCTTCACAAAGACTGGTTCACCTCGTGCTATATGAAAGTTTTAAATACGAACTACACCTGTACCTAACATTCAGCGGCATCGTAATTTAAACTCCTGTCTCTTACAAAGTCAAATACTTAAACTCTATTCTTTTTGTTTGTACCTATTTGTTGTAAGGCAAAACAAATAAATATTATTATAAAACATGAGGATTTATGAATTTCACTTTTAATCCGACTTCAAAAAAGGAGGAAGTTCTCAATTCGTCTGCATCTTTTTGTGTGTGGGCATTTATGAATCGCTTTTACGCGATAACTCTTTGACAGGAATAGCTTGTGTCTTTTTGGTTTCATTAGCGAGTGCCTTGCCCTTTCTGGGAACAATTTTAACACACCATGTCTAATGCAATTCATATGCTGTCTATAAACGTCAAAAATAATTGAACATAGATAAGCATTAACCCGATAATTTGCTTCTCACGGCGGCAACAAAACAAAAAAGAATGTTGCGTGCGCGCAATACCAGACCGACAAATGCACGTACTTTACTGGATGCCAACGCCGTTGATAATGTATATTATGTTTGCTGGAATATGGAATTGACTACAATGATACTCTATAATGCTATAATGTACAATATATGCTTTTTCATCATCAACCCATTTACGTCCCACAGCTGGGCATGAGTCTCCTCTCAGGCGAGGTTTTAGACAACAGTCGATTTCGCTGGCCCAATGTGGGTTGGAGTCTTCACACTTTTTCTGAGGGTTGCGAACCTTTTTCGTCGTGGAGGTATAATTAGAATGTTTTTCTTCACCAAAAAGCTCATGGTAAATTTCAAATAACTGATTCCGTGGCTAAACATGAGATAGTATTGTTTGCTGATGATACTTCCTTATTATTTAAAGTTAAAAGGCACCAATGTTCCTACGTCGATGTGAACAATGCTATATCTAAAGTAGTTGATTGGTTTGCTGTTAATAATCTACTCCTCAATGAGAAAAAAACAAATTGTGTGAAATTTACATTACCCAATGTCAGAGAGACGGTTACAAACATTGTAGTTAGAAACGAAAAATTGAATCTTCTCTTTCTAGGTATAACGTTACATGCTAAATTGCAATGGGGTCCCCATATAAGTAAGTTATCAAAACGGCTCGGCTCTACAGTGTACGCGATTAAAAAAAATACGGAACCTTTCAGACGTAGAAACCGCTAGATTGGTTTACTTCAGCTACTTTCACAGTCTAATGACATACGGCATTTTGCTTTGGGGTAATGCCGCCGATATCAATAGAATCTTTGTCCTGCAGAAACGTGCGGCAATTTACAATGTGGGCCCCAAAGTATCTTTGAGAGATAAGTTTAAGGAAATTAACATTCTTACACTAGCCTCACATTACATTTATGAAAATGTAATTTATGTTAAGAGGAATAGTAATTTCTTTAAGAAAAATACTGACAGACAACATTAATACGAGGAATAAAAATAAACTAGCTGTTCTTGATAGTCGTCTTCACAAATGTAAAAATCATTCAAGTGGCAATGTATACGCTTCTATAACAAGATTCCGGTTGATATACAAAATTTGCCTTCCACAAGGTTTAAAACTATAGTGAAACAAAACTTTATACTAAAGGTTATTATACAACTTCTGCGTACTTGGATTACTAAAATCCGTGGTAGTAAACCGTTAAGCTCATGGAGGTAGTCTCGATCTCTGATATTTCAAAACAAAAACAAATATATTGTAAATGTTGAATGTGTACAAATGTTATTTACGAAGAGCAACCCCTAGAGTTTCATGCTCTTTCTTCTCAGGGGAATCTGCCTTACTAATGAGCGGTAGAGTTTAACCAATGTGATGATTTCAAGTGTAATAATGCTTACCTATGAAATAAAGATTATTTTGAATTCAAATTTTTGTCACTTGGTATTATAAAAAAACTTTATTTGTAATTAATTCTAAAAAGAACATTAAATGAAGCTGTTTATTTTTATACTGTAATTTATTGATTACTGTTAGAGCAGCGATAGCATAATTACACGATCAACATTCATAAATTAAAGTCTTTTATAATTAAGGAAATACTATATACCAACGCGTTTCACGTTGGTTATAAATGAAATATATAAAGAAACTTAAAACCGGTTTTTTTTTGACGTGTAAATACTCAACAATTTCTTGTTTTCGTCTTTTTGCTGTATCTATTTTGATAAGTAATGGCAAGTTTTTTATGTTTATTATTCATATTTATTATAAGGATTCCTTTGAGTTAGTATAATTTACGTTTATATGTTTAAAAACTAATTTTTATTATTTATTATAATAAGTATTCGAAAGAGACGAGATACTTTCGTTGATGTCTTTAATACGAGTGAAAAAATGTACAACCTAAACAAAATTTGTACGTGTTTTGTGAAAAAGCTTTTGACAAGATTTTATTTTAAATATTGGTAAATTGGGAAATTAGATTCATTTGCAAAAGATATTTGTGTTCTGTTCTGTACTTCAAGAAACAGATTTTATTAAATATTTAATGGGGATATTACATTATAGTTAAATATTAATAAATGGACGCTTAGAGTTTCTACATTTTGGTAAAGTGCTGTGATTTACGCCACTTTACTTTAATATATACTTTTCATACGTTATTAACTCCATTTAAATAGTTAATTTACGTCATTAATAAATAACGCGATAACAGACAAATGACATCACTATTTCTAATAAAATCTCGAAAATGTAACTAATAAACACAGAATAAGCAACATTCATCTAACACCTAGTGAGAGGCTTCCTTTCTATGATGAGACGCTAGCGTCCCTGAATGCCTCTATAGAAACATAGAACATACCGGCAAACAAAAACTCCAGGTAGAATTCACTGTAGTAACAAAAAACCAGATCCTTTTCACGTTCACTAATCAAACACACTGTTTAACAACTCTTGAAAATTTTAATAAACAAAACCTTTTTTTTTTCTTTATTGTCACGAGTTTCGCTTTACAATCGTAGTACGTTGATGCAGGTTGGCGCGCCGCGCGGTACTGACTGAGGTGCGCACGCGGCGTAGACCGGTTATGATTTCTCCCCGTAAACATCGAAAGCGAGCCTTCGAACCTTTCTTCGACTCGTGGCGAAACGCGGTGTGAAGTTTTTACTAATTGTTCTCGATTGATATTTGGAAATTTCGGCTTGAGTGAGTATTGAAGATTTGTTCTAATTTAATATATTCAGTACAACAAAGATAGAAGCAAATGCTCCTTTTCTAACATTTAAGAAAACGCTTGAGGTACCTAGATACGATGCAAAGTTGAACAGGTCTCCGTTATAACAGCTCTATGGAAACGAAGACACCTCAGGAATTAAAAAAAAAGATAATCTTAAATTACACAATTCAATAAACCTTTTAATTTTGATTTTGATTCTTTTTAGGTTTCTTCAATACTAAAGCGGTACTTCAACATCCAAATATAACCGTTAACTGCATTGACTTACAAATAAAAAGTCAATGGTTAACTCCCTAATTTTCATGATTGACGCATTTAAATACTATCACCCCTATATTCCCAAAGAGTAGGCAGAGGTTTACAGTACACTCACACTTAGACAAATATTGTTTACTTTTATAATGAGTCTAAAACAAGTGATTAAGTAAGTAATTACAACGATATTGTCTTCTAATGAGTCAGAATAGGCGATTAAATGATTCTCAATACCGCACAACAATGCCAACTATGGACTTTATCTGATGAGTAAGCTAATTTGTTGATTAGTTGTGCTTTCAGTTCTAGAAAAATATATATATTTTAAGCGCACATATTTTTAAACTCTAATGAGGGTAGTTAACAAATTAACTTAAATTATCGACTTTTTGCAATAAAAGGCCTAACATTTTGCTTAATAATTTATATCGTTCACAACTGTGTAACTGCTAACATTAAATCTTTGCTCAAAATTTGAAAATGGAAAGTTTAATCACCAATTTAGACTTGTTCGTTCTTCTAAAAAGTGAGAGTACTTCATTTAATCATGTAGTATTGTTTGGTGCTATTGTATCCCGCATAGGCGATTGCCTTTCTGATGAAGATCAAGTAACTCTGAAAGAGTTTTGTCGGAGATTCACGCGAACTGCTTTACAGAGGTGGAAGAAATCCAATCGATTCATTGATAATTTCAGAATTATACGGGAATTGGCTGCAAGCAAATATTGATTGGCCAAGTTGTGTGCAAACTTTACTTCATCAAGAACCAACTGCTGATGAGTTACCAGACACACACTCAGTCTCTCAAGAACCGTCTACTTCATCGTGTGTTGGAACAATGACGAAAAGGTCCCGAAAACCATTCGAAGATCTGGGAAGCAAACAAAAAAAGAGAAGATCTGATGATCATGCAGGCGAAAAATCCAGTGAATTAGCATATGCAGCTGCAGCACGTTTGAAAGAAGAAGGGCATGATGATATCGCATCTGTAATCGAGTATATGATGAAAAATCCAGAAGCAGCCGTTACAATTAATAAAACGCTTAAGAAACCATTGAAAACAGTCACATCTACACCAGAGAAAGCGCTTGGATTGCTTCTTTCACTAAAACTGTCAAAGTGGCAACATATTACGTTGCGAGAGGCTGCCATTCGGGAAGGTGCTGAGGGTATTTATCCATCCTAATATGAAGCAATCAGTATCAGTTACGGATTCATCGGCCAGGATTACCCTTCAAACTTTACTTGACATCACAGTGACTAGGATCCTTCAAAGTCTTTCTGATGATGTGCAAAATAAACACCACAGAATGCAGTAATAGTAACAGTGTGACTCATCAACTAATGATCGACGGTAAAGTCTGCACTTATCTTTCTGAAGCCAGATCAAATGCATCGTGCTACCTGTGTTTATCGAAACCAACAGAAATGAACCGCTTAGATGTAACATCAAAGACCGTTTGTTCTGATATATATGAGTTTGGCTTGTCATCCCTACATGCCCGAATACATTGCATGAAATGTCTGTTACACATTGCGTACAGACTTGACTTCAAACAGTGGGCTGCGAGAAGTAATGAGCACAAAGAAATGTTGCAGACAAGAAAGAAACTGATTCAAAATAAATTCAAAGATGAGCTCAATCTGTTGATTGATACAGTGAAACAAGGTTCAGGAACTACGAATGATGGGAATACAGCCAGAAAGTTTTTCGATCCTGAATATGCTTCTTGTCTTCGGATCCTGTTCTAATTGCACAAAGACCTAAATTAGATACCAAGAGAAAGCAGAGCTTTTTTGCTGAAACTCTTGATCTAATTCAGTTTCAGCAGACTGAGTTTGAGTTTTTAGATATCTCCAATCTCCGATAAGGAGAATTTGTAAATTTAATTACATATTATGATTTCTTGCTATTTTTTGTTATTGTAAGTTTATTGTACCAATAGATTTAAGTAGTTATTAATTCATCAAATTAGTTATTAAAATATTTTGTATGTTGTATTTAAAGTAGGTACTGCTTTTTTAAAATATTTTTTTGGTTTTTAGATATTTATGTAGTTAACTAGAAATGTTTTATTTTTAGTTTTGTCTTTGGTTAGGTTTTAGTATAGGTGCTTATGTATTTATTATTAGATATAAGTGTAATTTTTTTAATTTTGTTTCAGTTTAATAATATTACTTGAAAGTTTTATTGTATGTTTAAATTTTTTTATACAATTTTATTGTAACTTCATTTGAATTAAAATATTTTTTGTATATATTTTACAGTATTTTAATATTTTTGTAACCTCTGTTTTATTTAAATTATTAATAAAAAATAATAAGAAACATATATTTTTTATTTCATCTTGTTTTGTATATTCTTATTATTTGGAAATACTACGTTCTTAACTTAGACACTAAAAGGAGAAACAGTTCCTTTTAGTGTGTAACTTAAGAATGTATATAAATAAACAAAATAGGCAAAATAAATAAATAAACCACACGCAAAATAGGCGCTTTGTCGTCGAGTTGCGGATACCAGCCCGGTGCACCAAGTACCAAGTACCAAGTAAATAAACAAGAATATTTTAACAATTAAATAGGTAGTTGTAATTACTTAATCCCTTGTTTTTAGATTCATTAGAAAAATAAACAATATTTGTCTAAGTGTGAGTGTACTATAAACATCTGCCTACTTTTCCGGAATATAAAGGTGATAGATATTTATGTTACGTGTTGTAAAAAGTTTGTGTTCATCAACTCAAAGACTAAATCATTTCGTTTCACATGTAAAATTAAATAAAAATATTTTGATGATTTTTTAAAAAAAACGGCATTTATGACCGTTATCTGGAGTATGCCAAAAAATCATAAATAATTAGTACTATAACCACCTGTAAGGATATTACGGTTTTCCTTGCCGCTTAAAAGATAATTCGATTTTTCATACAAGTTTCATACAAATCTTTCGAAAAAAATATAACTCCTTCGTTTTTGAACATAATCAACTCGGGTGTCATATTTGTACATAGTAATAACTAAAAGAAGCAATATTCGTCAAAAAAACTGACACTTGCAAATTGAAATCCCTAAGTCTATGAAAGCCGATTTTCAGCCCACCGTGTGACGTCCCTTTATGAAAAGACTTATTATTGCACGGCTTACCATAGATTTAGTACAGCAATCTTGAAATCTCGATGATCTAGAACTTTTTATGAGATTAATATGTATTAAAATAGGTTTAATATGCAGTATTTTTTATTATTCATTTTTACTTTTCTATAATTAAGGTAAGAAAACCTTGAAAAATGAATCGATACGCAGTCTACAATAATCGAGCTCGTTTAGACTTTATAGTTTAAAAACGAGAAACAACCGACAAAGAGCGTAATGTCCAATGGTAATGGTTGGCTGAAGTTTTCGCTTGATAATAAAAATATGTCATTATATACTTAATGAGCATTTGTAATTTCGCATGTTACAAAATATGTTGCTATAAAATATAAAAACGTGAAACATTCGACAAATTCGCCAATTTATAGGGAGTCGGTAAGGCTTTCGTTTCCCTAAATAAACGTGTCATAATAAGAGAGTACAGTTATTAATTTATATATCCCCAAGACGCAGCAAACTATAATGGGTTAAGTGCTTAACATTTAATGTATGTATGTACTTTAAAATGTACTAAATATGCTTTCAGGCCCATCCACGCATGCCTACAGTTTTGTATGAAAATCGCAATCGGGGTTTTTAAAAATATTCTTCTAATTATTAAAATACGAATATATAGCGCTACATTTGAATGTGATATTTTCCTTTGTAATTTTTAAATTTATTGAATGTCACGATGTTTGACCATCAATTATTTTTGTAAAATTACTCCACCACTTGTAATAGTTATTAACCAAATTAGTTTAAAGTTGGTATAGCGTCTGGCAAACCATGCCAGACGCTATTCCAACTAAGCCTCGGAACGAACTAGCGAACGAAATTGTCTATGTGCTTGTTTCAATCTTTTTTGACGTAGCGCCATCTGTGAGAAATCTATGAAAGCTTTTCTTCACTCAGCCAGGTATGTGACGTTTTTATTATAATGTACACCTAGCATTCACGTGATCATAGGAATAATATTGTCTAGGTCTGAATCACGTCACATATGAGGTATATTTTGTTGCCCTATGTAAATATTGCAAAGTACCTACTCAACAATCCAAGACGAGAAACATTCGAGCTAATAGAAGCTATTGGTCAATGGTTGGGGCTGCAGAGGCTTTCGTTTGACTAATAAAACGTGCAATGACGCGGGCGTCAGGATGTTTTAAAGCGGTCAAGGCGCTCCACCCCGGCAAGGATACGATGACTCGCAGCATTAATTAACGTACATAACATGTCTCCAAATATAAACCTTCGGGTTTTTAGGATCCGGATTCCGTATCCGATTTAACTTCCTAAAAAATATTGTAGATGGCTTCATACATAAATCAAAACAAGTAGGAAATTTTGTAAACAGTTTTCTTTAAGCCTGTACGTTCAAATTAAACAGAAATATCTGAAAGTTTTCTCAGAAAATGACGTCCTTATTGCAAAAAACAGGTTCACATGTCACGAAAAAGATATTAAATTTTTGTCTGACGAATTAAAAAAATATTTAATAGCAGTAGAGATCCTTGTGAAACAATTCGTCCAGGGAAGTACCACCTTTCCTATTTCTGCCGCCAAGCAGTAATATGAGCATTACTGCGTTCCCGTTTTAAGGGATCAGGGTGCTGGTGAAATGGATGAAATATGCAGGGTGCACACGGGACTTGTGAACGTATGCCTCAGCGCATCCTTAGTGTGACGGGCGCAATGAGAGTGCCCCTTAAATCTTTGCGATTTGAAGCTCTGAGTGGCACTGCAACTGTTATGTACAGGGGTGTCGCTTTCCACCAGACCCACGACCTGTTAGTTCCGTCCTTTGGTATCGTAAAAAATATCTTTTTGGGAATGGAACATACCCTTACAGGATGCAAGAGTTCACAAGCTAGACTGCGAGTGCGGTCTCTTTGATTTGGGTTTGTTTTGACAAACAAAGCGAAGCATTTCTACCCCAATCAAATAACAATAGCTTAATTTATATGTCAAACATCGTCGCGTAATAAAATCTGCGAAAATGTCATGGACAAACCTACACATTTAATTAGGTAGGTAAGTTACACAAACCCCAGCTCCTTGTTAGAGAAGCCCGTTTTCTATCCGGGGTACCTACAGCGAGAGGCCATTGAAATTAAAAAAAAATTTCAACAGTTGCATGGAGAAAGCTTTTTCTGATCGGCACATGCGAATTCTGCGTGATCAAGTGCGGTGACTCCGCAATGTGGCCCTGCGACTATCCTCCTCTTCTTAGCCAGTTATATAATGGTGTTAAATCGGTCGTTTAAGGTGCACGTGTCACAAAGTCTTCGCCCCCTTTTTGCCCTGGTAAAAGCTGTAATAGATCATTATGCACTATACTGTGGAAAGGTTAATGGGGAGGATTACTGTGGAAAGGTTAATGGGGAGGATTTTAGGCTGTCAACCTCCACGCTGGCCAAATTCATTGGAAATCTGATACGCCTTCGAGGAGTTTTTTCGATGTGCAGTTGTTTTAAGATGCTATTAAGGCTGCTAACACACGGACAGCATGTCTGCAATTAATGTATGAAGTTGTGGTCCGCTGCAAGCGTCGGTCGCAGTTGATGGGAATCAAAAACAACAATTAGCGGTCTTAAGAGGGTATATAATTTTATTTGTGTCTGAAACAATTTGATATTCTACTCTGATATTCTATAGTAACGGAAAAATGTAATACGTAATTTTAACCAACATTATAAAAAACAAAAACACGGTAAAACTTTTCTCGACGTATTTATTTCACGTTTGCACAATTCTTAAAATATTTTTTTTCTAATCGCACCTTTTTTTTGTAATGGCACATATTTCATTGCAAATTCAAGTTTTCGATAGTGATAACTTTACTATTTAAATATTATGTTTAAATAGTAAAGTCAGCATTTGGAATCACTAAAATACGGTGACAAATTAGAAGTAACATCTGTACTTCCATTTCAACATCAACAGATACACTAAGGGTCGTGTTCTAGAACTCTACTCAATGCTCAAGTCAGGATTGCAATTGAACACAAGCACTGGAAATACGACCCTAATGGCAGGGACTTGAGTATGATTTCGAGTGCTTTAAACCATACTCAAGTCAGGACTGCACTGGAAACACAAGCACTGGAAATACGACCCTAATGTCAGGGACTTGAGTATGATTTCGAGTGCTTTAAATCATACTCAAATCCTGACTTGAGCATTGAGTAGAGTTCTAGAATACGACTCTGAGTATCTGAGCTAAGCGCGCGGCAATATCGCGTTCCACTGCATACAGTTGTATATATCGACTTCGCGCAACCAGTCCGTCTAGTAGCAGCCTTAAGCAAGAGATAATGAGAATACTAAACCGCATATAATTGTTTTGTATTCCTGAGACATTTACTATCTATATTGTCGCCGCAAACCAACCAACAAATGTTTGACAATAGGTTATTGATTAATAATAATAAATGTTGTATCAACATAAGGCTCAACTCACACTGGCGCAGACTCGAAGCGTCGCGACGCGTAATGTTTTTCGTTTATAGTATATTCATCTCTATTTTCCCATTATTAAGATACAAATTTGTGTTATGCAAATATGGAAATGGGCGTTGACGCTGGGATGCAGTCGAGCGTCCACGCGCGTCGCCAAATGTTGTAGTTGAAAAACACGACGCGACGCTTCGACTCTGCGCCAGTGTAAGTTGAGCCTAAGAGTCGCTGGTGTTAAGACATTTGCTTCACAATCTGTTCAGGCGCTTAAGTTCAACCTGCTAAGAATTTAAGAAGCGTATCTATAAATGTTTAACTTTTAAAAATAGGAAAGGTACGTATGTAGTTTCCTTACAAAAATAAAAAACAATCAGTTAGTTTTTTATTGAATTTAATCATCTTTATCGTTATTTATAAAGATTTTGATTTATGGCACGTGACATTAAGTATGAATAAGCGGGACGTTCCGCCACTGGCGGGACATTTGCTTGTTGAAAGATAACTCTTCAATATACTATTAACAATGGCATGTCAACTTCGTTAACTTGCATGTAATCTCCAACACACAAATGTTACGAGTTCAAATATGTCCCGAGACAATCGTCGGAAATCAAAAATTCCACGAATTGATTATAAACAGCCCCATAAGTTTGGCAAAATAAACAAATTCTGCGAAATCCTATTGTAGATTGTGTCAATGAATATTGACAAGTTTTAAGTAGGTATGCATACAGTATTCAGATGCTGTAAGGCAATTAATGATATACTTTGTTTCTAAGATGTCTACAAATTTGCTCGATTTTTTGACGATTGACACGTGTGATCAAATAAAATCGAGTAAATGTGTAAAAAGCAGACGATCATTATCGTATTTTTTGTAAAACGACACGTGTCGATCGTTAAAAAATCGAGTAAATATATAAGCACCTTTAGCTTGACGAGAAAACGACGGTATTTTGATCTTCTTCAAAATGTCAAATTGCTCTCGAAATTGTCGAAAACGTGATGTTCGCAGACTGCAGACTTGTTTACGCGACGGTGTTTGACATCAGTTATATGTTCTTTGATGCGAGTACAAATACTTCGCTTTGTTTGTCCCATATAAGAGAGACCGCACTCACAGTCAAGCTTGTAAACTCCTGCATCCTGTAAGGGGATGTTACATTTCACGGGTCTCAGGAACTGAGAAATCTTCCTCAGGGGCTTAAAATAGGTCTTGATAGATGCACACCTGAGGACTCTTCCGATCTTCTCTGTAACACCTCTCACGTAAGGTAAGATGGCAGGTCTTCGCTCGACTGTTGGTGGTTTCACACGGGGCCTGCGGCATTGGCGTGGAATCTTCAACTTATTCGCATGTAGGACTTGCTTTATGTGCTGAAGTTCCCCCGCCAGATGATTACTGTCGCAGACCATGTACTCTCTGAAACAAAGATTTGCTAACTGAAGTGGCTAACTGGCTAGGATGGCGATGGGAATTACCATTGAGATGCCTATCTGTATGGGTTTTTTTTTCGAAATACAGTATGGCCTAAGGTGTTATTAGGATTTATTTTAATTAAAACATCTAAGAAAGCTAAAGTACCTCAATTCTCTTGTTCCATAGTAAATTGGATCTTAGTACTAAAATAATTAAGATGGTCCAAGAAAGAAGGTATGCTATCTTTAGGTAATATTGTGAAAGTATCATCAACGTACCGTTTGAAAATCTTCATGGGTAAAACTCGCTCCTCGAAGTCTTCCATGAAAATATCCGCAACAACGGGAGATACCGAGGAGCCCATCGTTATACCGTCAATTTGTAGGTTGAATTCATTATTCCACAATAGATGGCTATCTATCATCAGACTTGATGTTAGGCAGTGTTCTAATAATTCTGCATATTCAATGGACATATTATGTTCCCTTTGCTTTGACCATGGTGTCATCATCAGCTAACCATAGATCTTTGATTCCACTGATGAAATGGTATGAATCCTTCACATGTGTAGAAGTGTTCCCTCTCAATGGTGACAGTACCTTTGCCATGTGTTGAGCCAGTTTGTAGGTTGGTGTGTTAATCTGGCTAACTATGGGACGGAGTGGGGTGTCAACCTTATGTATTTTTGGTAACCCATACAGTTTTGGAGGTTTTACGCAGCAGGGTACAAACTCACTTACACCAACTCACTTTCAGCGTATCAACTTAGTTGTTGTTTTTAATATCACGGTGGTAGGATCTTTCTTCACCTTTTTATACGTGCTTTCATCCGATAGTAAGTCAGTTATTTTGCTGTTATAATCTGACGTATTCATGACCACCGTCGCGTTACTGCCGTGAAACGGACTTGAAGAGAATTTTCGTAACGAAATTGTACATACCATAATGACCTTTGACAATTGTGTAACGTACAATCCAGATATGATACGGTAGCTGTGGTATTTCCCGAAACTGCGCGAGAATTCTCCGGAAGACGTGCGACATATTTTTTTACTCGTATCTACTTTGCAATAAATTATCTATACTTACAATATTTATGTCGTCACAAAGTGCAAAGGTCCGTAAATACAAGAAATGTCTCGTTATAGCATGAACAATAAGACAATGCAGATTTTTAAGCCAGCTTAAATGATAAAGTATTTACCTATTGCATTGATAAAAGGAGACTATATTAAAACCATTATCGATTTTCAAAAATAAGGAAACTTGTATATTTACGTACCTTGACTAAGCATTGCTGTTTCCAGCGCAATTTGATCACAACAATTATTTTGTCTGAACTATCAGGAACAAAACAAAATTAAAAAAAAACAACAACAAATCAATAATAAATATTAATTACTTTATTCAGAGATCTGCTCTGCAATTTATAAAAATATAAAATTTTAAATTTCGGACAACATTTTCAAACATACTATTTTGACAGGGCAGATTGTACTGGGAGATTAGCTACACAAAACATTTTCATGAACAGAATCGAGCAATCACAAAGTTGTCGAGTTTACTCTTTACTTAATACTGTTTTTGACAACTGTATGGGGAAAAGTCAATTTAATTTACCGAATCATGATTTGATACTCAACTCACGAATTTAAGAACGTCAAAAAATTATAAAAAAATCATTTGATTTCAGTCTTTGTTGACACGTTTGGGCACCGGAGACGTAGTTCATCATACATACAAGACGAATACCTGATCGATTACAAAAGTGTACTTCATAAGTAAATTCCATCTTTAAACATGATATTCGTTACATTAAAATCGAGAAAAAGAAAATCACTAAATCGTTATTTTACTGCCTTAATTCTTTAAAGGTCATCTACAAATATTAGAACTAACCTAAAAATTACAAAAAACGAAGAAAAAACAAATTCTACGTACACATCATCAAGATCCGATAAGTCAAAAAACTAAAACAACAATACATTATACACTTAATTTAATTGTATTGAACGCGACAGGGCGTCAGTGGAGCGCGGACCCATCACTAAAAAAACTAAAATATATTCTGGTCGGATTTATTCAGTCTGAAACAAAAGAGAATTTTGTTAAATATGACGTCCCAGTACCATGAGTACCATAACAACCAAATTCATTTTGGGGTACTCCCCGGAACACCAGAACCAATTTAGAAAAGTTGCTTCTACCGGAAATCGAACCCGCGACCTCCTCATCCAGTGCTCATAGTGCAAACCGTGGGCCACCGTGGTTGAATTATCGTACACTGAGAATGATAACTTTACTATATAAAAAACGTCATCTTGGATTTGAGAGTACGAACTTAATATTTCTGTTTATTATTATAAACAGAAATCTTTCATCTGACTTCTTATTGTTAAATTTTTATTTATAGATCTTATCACTAAAAGATGGTATTGTTCTAAACATCAGTACTGTTTTGAATCTTACAACGCTTCTAGGTAACTAAATAGCATTGCTCCAGAGCTTCAGTCTTATATAGCCTGGAAGTTGTTATTTTCAATTTGTAAATTCAAATATTGATCATGAGCTGAAATTATTTTCTAATCTTTGACAAATATGCGTGTCAATAGATGACATTGTGTGTTACAAAACTAATTTATAAATTAACTTTTCCTAATATGAACAGATGGCGTTAATTCGAAACAAAATAAAAAATAGCCGGCACTATCTAAAAAATCTATGCAATAAGTGCCATCTAGTTGATTTGTTTGTTATTATTAGAAATTAGCGTAGCTTTGATAACTTGCAATTTGTATGTAAAGCAACTTGCAATGTAAACCAAATTAGTTTCAAAAATTGCTATTTACTACTCGGCGCGACATCTGGCGTACCAATATGTACTAAATACCCGACTACGCTGTCTTGTATCGAGATTAGCAATCCTCTTGAGTTGGTCCATGCTGCTAGGAATCTAGTTGCCTAATTAACAGATGTTATGCAAGTTTAAGTTCTTTTCCATACTGTTAAATTTTTTTCTTGATATAAAGAAAAAGAAATCGAAGTCAGATAAATTAGCCCCTACAAGAGAAACGCCTAAAAACGCAGTAACTAAATTGTAAAGTTCTGAAGATCCGTAAGAAATAATGCTCCATATTTTTCTCACAAAAATTCACACTTCGCAATAGAAAACTTAATACCAAATGGAATCCTGGATTTTTTAACATAAATATCTACAAGAAGACTCTCTACGTCATAAAAACTCACCTTTACATCAAGGTCACTCTTGTTTTGTAGAGTAAGAAAAAAATCCTTTCTTCTTCTTTACGAATGTCGCATCAAGGTGACCTCTGCAAAACGAAACACAAACTATATTATTCATAGTCATCATTTATTAATCGAACACCGGGCGATTGATGCCGGAGTTCCTCAGGGTTCTGTACTGTCCGCAACCCTCTTTCTGCTGCATATCATTATATTAATGAATATATCATTATATGTTCATTCCAGGGACCTTTGAGTATGCTGATGACAGCACAGTTGTGGATAGGTACTTGACCAATACAAGAGTCAGTGGAGAAGAAATCCAGTCTTGTCGCGAGTCCATGGTTAGTCGTTTGAATTCGACACTTAAAGCAGTCTCCGATTGTGGCGATGACAGTTCTTGTAAAATTTCATGCTACCAAACGCAGGCATGTCTATTCTCCTCAAAACGGAGTTCCCCGAACGCTATAACTTGGACCTTTTCAAGGTGAGTGTAAATAGGCATTATTTAGGTGTGCATGCTACAACGTCGACCTCATCGTCACTTTCCATCAGGTGAGATGGATGACAAATGCACGCTTATTTTTTATATAAAGTATCGTTTAAATCTTCGACTATAGCTCTTGTCTGGTCCATATTATATTTAGCATGTGTAACTAGACCTTTAACTAAAATAGAGTAACAAAATTATGGCACATAGTTCTGCATAGTCATTTATTTAATTTTGAATCAAATGATAAAAAGGGTCTTTAATACCGAATTGTATTAAGTAATAAAGTTAACAGTAACCACTACTTTGATGACAAATGAATTAACTAAATAAATACATTTATGCGTACAAATACGTATCTACTAATATTCAGCACGTCAAAACATAACTAAGTATGTACTCGTACGATTGAATATTTACCATAAAATATTCCTAAATGGGCTGATCACTATCTACCAAATGCTTTGCAGAACTATGCACTTACTGAATAATGTGGAGGAACTAGATAGAGTCCATTCGCTTAAATATGTGCCATATGCCAGACAAGTTTTTATAGAACGAGTATTTCTCCTTACTGCGGTGCCTAGGAACGAGAAAAAGTGCTATCAGTAAATAAACACTACCAGTAAGAGCATAGTCCGCAAGGGGGGTTAAAAGAAGCCAACCTCACGCAGATACTTGAAGAATAGAGAAATAAAATGGTATTTTGCGACGTCCATCCCGTATTGGACGATATTGTCTGCGCAGTACGTGGACATCGGGGCGACGCAAGTATTATACAGCAGGAGGGCGTACATCCATTTTTGCGCGTGAGGGTTGGGGCTATGTTGCCCCTCAGCAAGAGGTCGCAGTGTTCGGACGACCAACGAGTTCTCTTCGCTTGGTATAGGTACGTTAGGGAGGCACTGCTCTTCGACCGGCCGAGCTAACTTGTGGTCGATTTGATGTGCCGTCTCTGGTCTGACCACGTGAATTATTATTATGAATTAATTTCTGCGACAGTTAAGTAATTTTATGGCCCTAAGCTAATTTGCCTAAAGTACAAAAAAAAAAAATCTCCCAAAAGTAAATTAAAACAGAGCTTATACAATTTGAATTTTAGTGTGTTATTTAATAGGCTACCGAAAAGTTTTGTGCAAATAAAATTATGAAAACAACCGAATCAAGTACTGCAAGTTCCGGAAAATCTTGCTAATGTAATATTACTCTATCAACTTAACTTATATTTTACCGAAAACTAGTGTTAGCCATTTTTATCGAAAATCAATTATAAATTTGAAAGCGACCCTACATATTTTATAACCTTTCCATCATACGGAAATATATACTATCATGAGTGACGACATACGAATTTGTAAGCAATATCAAAGTGTATTTGTAACCAATCATTATATAATAGTTATATAATGAAAAATATTCTTAAAACGATGGACGAGGCGAGGAAATGAGTAATAGTGAAGGAAACTAATTTCTGTCCCGGAAGACTTCCACTTTTGTATAAAAAAAAAAAACTAACTACGAACTTACATCGACCATATTCGTTTCTGTCCAGAAAAGTTCCTGCGTTCACATAAAATTTTGAAACTTATAGCCTTGTAGCTAAAGCTACATAAAAAATTGTCAACATGGCGTCGCGTTTGAAGCTGGCACCAAGCGTTGCCGTCGAGGACCGAACGGTAGTAGTTATTTTCATTAAAATTAAGAGTTAACAAAAGGAAGTCTACGACATAAACAAAGCTGGTTGCGACAATCTGTTAAAAACGTTTTTATAGAAAATGTATTTTCGGTAAGTTTGTACCTCTTATTTTCGATTTCTGTATATAATATGAAAATGAAAAAAATTTTCAGTATATTATATCAAAATAGTTTTTTTTTCCTAGAATTGTAATTTGAAAGAGCTCTTAATTGTTTGCTAAGTTAGTTTCGTTTTTAGTAACCAATTTTGACGATTAGCTTATACAGGTTAGTCTCATTTCGCTCCATTTTATTTGCTTTTCGGAAGCTTTATTATTTCCCATTAAAAATTTTACGATAAATAACTTACCCTTTTCCGAAAAATGATGTGGTGCGGTTCGGCGTAGACTCTAGAGCCGATTCTGACGATGGCTGCAATACAATTGAGATTGTCATTTAATGGAGTATTAAAAGAATGACAGTTTTTATAGAATGTTATTGACACCGTCTTCAATATAAGAACCTTATAGTACTTCCTATAAGTTGAGTGAATAAATAAATATGAATGAAAGGAATAAGAATGTCTTTTGTACCACTGAGATACGTATTTTGTCAGTTTTGGCTGACTATTTATTTTAATTACCTTTTTGGTGTTTTTATTACCCCTAGCTTGACTGGAATGTTTATACAACACAGTAGCAGAAACTAGTCGTTTAATAATAATCTCAGTACAGAGTACTAAAAAAACCGACCTCAAAAGTCATTCACCCCCTAGATTGCCACCGTTAGAGGTGGAATATTTTCTTCAAATTTAAATGGAACCACATCTAAGGTACCCTCTTTCCAACAAAAAAAAAAGAGTCAACGAAATCAGTTCACAAATATCCGGAGTTACCGCGTAACATACACACAACAAAAAAGCAGTCGAATTGAGACCCTCCTCCTTTTTTTGAAGTCGGTTAAAAAGTGGCTAACTTAACGTTTCGCCGAAGAGAAGTAAGTACCTTGTTCTCCTTGTCCTCGGAATCGTCTGTGGATTTCCGGTTCTGGCAGAGCGTGGGCGGGCAGCGGCAGGCGTCGCCGCAGCCGCGCGTGGCTTTGCGGCAGCCGCACATGCGCGTGGCGCATGCGCCGCGGCACGTGCAGTGCGGCGAGCCGTCGCTGCCGCGCTTCACCGCGCCGCTGCTGCCGCCGCTGCCGCGCCCGTCGCCGCCGTCCGACACCGTGAAGTTCATGGTCAGACGAGGACGCTGCGCCTGAAGACACGTGAGGATGCAATACGGCTTGTGGAGTCACTACTCTGGCAATACGACGACGACGTTGTGTCGTGACGTTGCGTTGTACTACACATAAATCAGAACGACGTACAGTACGCTGAAATCGGTGTCATAAAGACATGAATATCTTAATCGTGTGGGAAATTAAACCATTTAAACCGCGTATATTTGTTTTTTCAAACAAACCTACGTTTCAGGTTCTATACACGTCCCATGATCACGGCTGTAAACGGCACGGAAAGTTTGTTTGTTTGATAAAACAAAATAAAGGCGATTTAGATCAGAAAAAAAAAATGTTTCATTACCTTCATGTGTAATAATCGCGAAAACCTGAGAGATAGAGAACTTAACCGTGTGTTAACATTTTTATTTTCAATGCATAGTAGGTTTTACTGAGTCTGCGTATTGAATGTTGAATAGTGTCTTCGTAACAAAAATCGAATGTGATAACGATTATATCTTTCGTATATTTTAAATTGGTCGATTTAAATTTTTATGACACCGAGTGACGAGACGAACAAGTCGTATGCCTGGTGGTAAGCGACACGCTTGTCCATAGCAGTTGCAGTATCATTCAGAGCTTTAAATCGCAAAGATCTGAGGGGCACTGCCACTACGCCCATCGCTCTGAGACATAACTTGACAAGTTCCATGTGCTTGTAATTTGAGCGACTTTCCGTGTTGTATATTACCATTATTATAATTTTTTATCAAGTTTAAAAAAAAACATTTTTTATTAAACGATACTGTATAATAAAAGATACGTGGGTAATCGGTCTTGTGTCTTATTATAGTGGCATTACAGCAACAAAGCAAGAACTCTATCATTTAGCTAACACACTAAATGATGGAGTTCTTGCTTTGTTTTATCCCTTACCTGTATACGTTTAAAAAGAGGTGTAGCACGCCAATCAGGGTCTTTGTCGGAGTCTTCGAACTCGTCATCGTCCTCGTCCGAGGGTTCCATGTACTCCAACTCACGTTTGGCGTTGTTGCTGCCATTATTATTGCTGTTATTTTTACCTCGCTTTTTGAAATTGTTGTTTGTCATCCGCAATTGTTTCAGCTCCTCTTCCAGTTGTTTCTGTTAGATAGTAATTTTATATTAAGACTCTATGTTATGTTAATTTTAAAAAACATATGTTTAGACTGATGTCAATATTTTCGTAGAACCGATTGTTAGAGAACCAGTTTGCGAGCTAAATAAATTAAGTTTATTTATGAGAATTCTTGCATTTTTATTAATATTACTGCTGATAATCGAACAGGTTATGGGCACAGCACGCTTCCACTGCTAGCACGCTTCCACTGCTAACGTTTTCATAAGTATGGTGAAGTTGAAGTGTACAGCTTGTTAGTGTGCTCGAGGATGCAAGTATGGCAAGCAAAGTCGGCTGCTGTTCTTTGCTTCTCGTCGAGCCGAGCAGAGTCCCGGAGATTTGGTCTATAGCGATGTTTACGGGCCAATAATAGGATGATCTTAGTCGGGTACGAAAACCACAACTACAGAATGTATGACCCAAATACAAACCAGATAAAAGTATCAGGAGATGTAGTGTTTGAAGACACCAATCAGAATGTTGTCAAACAGAACCATGTTGTGATTGAAGATCTAGAGGAAAACTGTGAACAAGAACCCTCAGTACCAGGAACGAAACGTCCACATCATCACAGGCAGAAGAAAATAGCGATAACAGTTGAAACAGCTGTGAGGACGATGACACTATCAACCTGTTGTAACGCTTGATCCCTTCGAGATGATATCAAGTCGTTTTAAGACCTAGGAGAAATGGGAATTATGAGGTTAATATAAGCCAATTCCTCGAACTTTGTCCTCGAATTCCTTGAACTGAAATTCGTCCACATATGAAGAAGCGTCGACGAACCCAGTCAAATACCAATCGAAGATAAACGTAAGACTCATGAAGAAACCAAACTTTCAACTTCACCACACTTATTATTTTTAACTTTAAACACCCGTTTCGAGTTAATATGTTTCTTGTCACTCATAGGGTCGTATTCTAGAACTCTACTTAATGTTCAAGTCAGGATTGCACTGGAAACACAAGCACTGGAAATACGACCCTAATGGCAGGGACTTGAGTATGATTTCGAGTGCTTTAAACCATACTCAAATCCTGACTTGAGCATTGAGTAGAGTTCTAGAATACGATCCTAGATGTGGGCGAAGGTTCCACTCCTATGTTGTGCATATTTCCCGGATTCGCATGAAGCGTTTCGCTTCCACATTTGCCTTTGGAATTCCCTGCCTGCAGACTTGTTCCCCGAACGCTATAACTTGGACCTTTTCAAGGCGACGAGAGTGAATAGGCATTAATTAGGTGTGCATGCTGCATCCTCGACCTTATCGTCACTTTAGATCAGGTGAGATGGAGGTTAAATGCGCACTTATTTTTTCATCAGGTCTTGTCGGGTTCATATTATATTTAGCATGTATAACTAGAGCTTTAACTAAAATAGAGTAACAAAATTACATGATTTTTTAGTACTATTTTCTGTGTTTTGTCGATGTTGTTATTTAACTCTCAGCATTTTCATGAAAGAAATTTTAATTTAACTATTCATTTAGTAAATACATTGAACCATCCTTGAGAGTCCAACAGTGCTGTCGCGGGTTCATTTTGTTTACATATTTGTTTGAATGGGGCAGTAACTTAGATTTAGACCACGTCGGTCAGATTCAGCTTTCGTCAGATCATTTCTTTTTTCCGTATAGGTCAGAATACTGAAGGCAATTTTGATTTATTTTTTATAGTAAGTGACGAGACCAGCGAGTCGTGCGCCTGGTGGTAAGCGACCAGCCTCTCCTTAGCAATTTCAAGTGCCACTCAGAGCTTTAAATCGCAAAGATCTGAGGGGTGCTGCCACTGCGCCCGTCCGTCACCTTAACACATAAGTTGATAAGCCCCATATCCCTATAATTTCACAACAAACAGTTTATTTGAATGTAGTAGACTGCTTAACTAAGAACCTTTATGTCTCCTGCTTGATTTTTATATTTGTCTTCAAATGTGTAAACGATATCGCGTTCTAGATACATACGTTTTCCTCGTCAAGCTGTTCTAGGCGCTCCTGTTGGTAGCGCATGACGTTCTGCAAATGACGACAGGCCTCGCTGTTGTCGCCGCGCCCCACCACGCCGCGTTGTAACGCCACCAGTGCCGTCAGCTGGAAAATATTACGTAAAATCATCTACTTTGAATAGCTGCATCTCAGCACCATATCCAAGGTGGCATGTAAAATGTCAATAATACTCACAGGGATCACAAGTTAAAATAAATTTTGTCAACTTTTCAACTTTCCGTGCAAAATTTCACCCCGAACTAAGACAGTAAAATTCTTAAATGTCATCCACTACTACTTACATTTTATTAGTACAATTTTATTGTTAATTTCATTTGAAAATTTAAGTTTTTCATTGGCATTCAAATATTGACATAAACATTATATGCGAGGCTCAGTTAAGCATGTTGGATGGACATATAACCGTAGACCATTTTCAAGTAAAATAAGGTTGCGTTTAACAAGTTTTTGTAAATTACATCGTGAATGATTACTATAATAATTATAAACGCAAATATATAGGTTGCAAAAACACCCTTAACGAAAACGAGAACTACGTATTCTTCCTATTCATCGTTACTAGTATTTTCTTATGTAGGGCGATATCTGATAGTTAAAAAGATATTGAGAGTCGAAGTGAAAATTTTGTTTTCGTGTTTTTTACGAAATCTGTTTTGAAACGTTATTACTAAACTTCCCTCCAAATAAATATTATATTTTTTTCTTAAATTCACAAGGCGTTTGAAATTACTAAACCGCAATAAATATCGAACGCACACGCAATGCGACTGCCGGCGCCGCTATGCAATTACGCACACAAATAAACGTCAGCTGTACATGTACCACAGGCAGACAGACGAGATTACACGCGAATGGCCATTTGTGGCACCAAGCACGGCCTGTATTATTAAAAACTAAATTAGTTTATTTACAGAGTAATTTTGTGTTGTCTTACTACAATTGTAATACAGAAAATTAGACAAAATAATCAAATGCGACGTATAGCATCGATCTATCGATCTCCGCAAGGAGGGCCGCGGGGCAAAAGGGAGGCGAAAAAGAAACGACAAATACCATCGATCTTTTTCGAATAGTGTTATTTGGTTTTGTTTTTTCGAATACTGGCGTCAATGAGTGCAGTTTGTTGTTGATGTAATGTAATCCTACATTTCACTTTATTTAGTGTTTATGTTTTCTGTTTAAGTGATAAGAACTTAGTACGAAATGGACCCTGGCAATCATTTAGTGCTCGAAAGTTATATGGCCCGTGGAAATGCCCCCTTTTACGGGATTGAATATCGAAGTGCAGTTCAATTCTATTCTGGACGTGGTGTGAAAACCCACGTTGGAAGTGCGAACAGCAGCCAAAGAAGACTACAGTGTCATTTCGCTTACTAAGTATATAACTACTATCAGAGATCAGACTGAACGCAGATTGAAAACACTCACTCATGCACTGTTGCACGCGCTACGTTACGCGTCATAAAAAACAGCTGTTTTTTAATACCTAAAAATTAAAGTTGTTTCCCAGCAACTATTTTTGTTTTATATGCCTCAGTTTGATGTACACCACGCGTGCATAAATTTCAGCTTCGTTAAAGGTCTTTTTACACTCTGTATAAAACACAAACTATTAATTTTGTATTGCAATGAAACCTAAAATCACATTTATATTTTAATTTTTTTCGCTGCACGTGCTATGCTATTTATACTATAATATTTTGTTTGAGAAATAAATAAACTAAACATTGTTTGACATTGTTTATGATATCCGTACAATTTATACAACCTACGCCTGCATCCGTTAAAATCACGCACGATACTAATGTCCCCTTGCACTAACTAAACTTAAGTTTCTCTTAAACCAATACTTGAAATGCAAAAGACACTATTTTACATTGTGTTAAGAGTTTATTTTACATTGTCTTATCAATTTAAGCATTTGTGTAAAACGTAATAAGTTTAGTACAAGTAGACATTAATGTCATTACATAATGGACATCCACACTAATTACTTTACACTTCAACTAGAGAACTCCCTGTACCAGAGCAACCAAAATTCACTATAGAAGAGCACTACCTTGAAAGCCCATTTAGAAAAATTCGTTTCCCAAATATGCTCTACCGGGAATCCAACACGGTTGGGTCACTGAGGTCGTCAAACTTCAAAGGTGCTTTCAAATACATTACAATGAAAAAATACACAAAACTAAAAGTGACTACGTAATTTGTGCACAAGCAAAATTACATTAACATTCCGAGTGACCAGTGAACTGAAAGTCCCAGCCACTCCGCAACGTCATTTACCTGTAGACAAGGGAGATTCTCATCATTACTAATTTACAATCTGTCGGTAACATTTGCGGAACTGTCGAATGACGTCATGTACGACAAGCTTCAGTTAGTGCATAGGTTCCAAAACTTTTTGGCTCACCTCCCACTTAGGCAAGATAAAAAATTTCAACGCCCATCACCACAAAAAAATAGTGAAAACTCGTTTTTTTTGTATTAACACAAAAAATCACAATGAGAAAAATTGTATATACGTGTAAAAAATATCTATATACACTACTTTTTTTTCAAATGCGATAGCACCTTGGACAGCATCGACGCCAATTGCTTCAACCCCCCTAAGATTCTTCAGCGCCTACTAGGGGGCGGTAGGGACCACTTTGGGAAACTATGTATGAGTTAGAGAGTCACACATAACATCGGTGTTTCGTAGAAAGAGCAAAAACGCCATTTCGAAATTTTTTTCAGGGGAGAATGTTTTAGACTTTAAACTTAAAACAGAAACTTAAACATTTTAAAACTAAAACATGCTCCCCAAAAAAATTCAAACACTGTTGACACCGTTGACATATCCACGTAATAAAAGCGAAAAAGATGTGTGGTTCGGCTGTGTCGACTCGCGTCGTGTCGTCCGTCCTCGCCGTATTCTTAGGCTAGCAAATCGGCGGACGGCGCCGGATAGCATGGAAGAGGATCTTTTGCCCGCCAGCGCACACTGATGAGGAATATACCTTACAATACCGCAGAGTACACTAGAATATCGCGTCATCCGCCCACATGCCACCGGTCGCTCGGATTGGAATCCTCTCTTCTAGCAACTAGCAACTATGCAGTCGGAAAGTGCCCGGCGCATTCTGGCAGACTTCGGCGCACACCGGTGAATTCCGGCGCATACCAGTGGATTCTGGCGCATGCCGGTGGATTCTGGCGCATACCGGTGGATTCTGGCGCATACCGGTGGACTTCGGCGCATATCGGTGGATTTCGGTGCATACCGGTGGATTTCGGTGCATACCGGTGGGCGCACCTCCGGCCACGATATGCTGCGGTATCCTCTAATGTACTCTTCAATACCGAAAAGAGAAAGCGCTGCAATGCCCCGAGGTCGGCCTCGGAGCATTGAAATGTATACCTTATTTCAATTGTTGTAGCTTAACGCTCAGCATGAACGTCTCAGCACCAGACTTGCACTGTCTCGCCTCAAAACAAAGTATTGAAAAACGGATTTCAACTTGTAAAGCATTCAGTATATTTCTGAATGTGCGCTTTGGCCAATCTGCCGCCCATCTATCGGCATGTTACTTAAATCTTTAAAATATACTTGTCTCACAGCTTTAAATTTATTTTTCGATACTTTATTTTCAGGTAAGGCAGTGCTGATCGGGTATAGAGACGATGTTATATGGACGATGACCTTAAACTGGCAACACGCAGTGGTTTGTGGCGAGGTGACAAGGGTTCAAGTCCGCAAATATTTCCGACTAGTGGTACTATGCATCACACATTACAGTTAATTAAAAAGAGATCTTTAGGCTTTCTATATTTAGAACACTTCGGACTTCAATCTAGTAACCCAAGTATGACCATTGTCTATTCTCTTAATCTAAATTTAACATTTCATTTTACAAAATATTATACTCCTGTTAAAGTTATAACTGTTTTTCTAAAGATGTTGTCTCATATTGAAGAACCTCATAAACAGTCAAAAACAAAGTTGAGGCCTCAGAATTCGACAAACTATAGAAAATAACCTTACCTTCTGATCGTTCTTAATCTTAATAGTCGCGATTTGCCTCTCAAACTCGGCTTTGCTGTTTTCGAACTCGAGCTTGAGTCTGTCATATGTTTCTTTGACTTCTTCATAAAGAGCTTGATAGCCCTTTTCGCTCTGGTTCTGTAGTTCTCGCTTTGCGTCTATTAAAATATCGAATAGATATTTCAGGGCCACCTTTGCTTCGAGCATCGATTGGATGTTATCCCATTGGGTGCGAGACTTGTTTTCTGTGAAATTTTAATGAATGCATTTAGTATATGACAAATTAGTAGCATAGAATGTACGAGTATGTTATGTGGTTATGCGGCAGAAAGGCGCACCAATTGTCTAGCTTTTAAATTAGGGAATCAACAGCACACTCAACAGCAAATCAAGTTTATACACTTTTGTTCGAATATCGCCTCTAGTGCAACGGAACATGATCCGTCAATGTGTAGCTTGATGGGCTCTAGTCTGTACGGTTAATAAGTAAATAAGGTTAAATTAAATTCAGTATGAAAACGGCAGCATCTTTCACTTTAGTCCCGTATTAGCAAATAAATAGAACCCTATAGTCTACAATATTAGTAGGCATTTTTTGCAACACCAGTTTACAAGCTATCATAATTTGTCGACTCAGCTGTACAAGCTCTACGTTTATAATTAACGTAAATTTCAATCACCGTTACTAGTACAAAAGTATCGACTGTGAACTGGCAAATACGTAGTGTATGTGTAATAAAAATATTTAAAAACTACGTATTTTTATAATTATTAATACAAAGATCGAACACTGAGAAAAAATTCCTTCGATCCGGCCGGATTCGAACCGACGTCTTCTAGCTTACCGTGACAGACGCTATACCAACTAAGCCACGGAACGAACCAGCGGACCTCACGAATTTTTCTATGTGCTTACGTCGTGTCTTTGTATTTGGTTTTTTCAAGGACTTTTTAGTCGTAGTGCCACCTATGAGAAATCTATGAAAGCTTTATCACCCAGTTAGTTACCTTTACAGTTACCAGTCCTGGCGAGAAATGTACGTATTCTTATTTAATAAATCAGATGCTCTATAAACGACGCAAATAATTTTGTTTCTTCATCCTTGTAAAGTTGTCAAAATTGAGATAGTACCGGTTCCCAGTTCACAGTCAATATTTAGCTCTAATGACTAAGTTTATATAGTTGGAAATATTTCACAAAACGGTTTTATCATATTATATTTATAAGTTGTGGTAAAATGCAATCATGCCTTGATCAGCAATAAGTATCTTCTGTTGCAAGTCAGATATTTGAGCCTTGCGCAATGCGAGATCATCTTCTAGCTCTGCGATCTTCTTTCTATTAGCCTCCTCATCCGTGCGGTTGCGCAAGTCCTCCAGTTGTTCCATTATGAATGCCCTGCAGTCAAAATTACATTAAAACTAAGTTTATTGAATGTCACGATGTTTCACCATCGTGATATTCAATTATTTTTTATGAAATTACTCCACTACTTTGTTATTACTAGTTAATTATTAATACAAAGATCGAACATTATTTGATTTTTAATTGGAATCAGGACCAAACCGCAGGATTGAGCTTCATAATCCCAAGATCCTTTCTACAGAACGTCATCAATATAGTAGCATCGCGCGTGAAGCTATTGAAATTAAATAACACCGTAATTTGAACCAAGAAGACGGTTTTAAGCTTTCATCGTCATGGGATCCAGTTATCAGCAAATATAAACGACATCAAGTATCGCCCGACAAGTCGCTGGATGTCGTGAGTGTTGTGTGTCGGTCTAGTGAGAACCCTAGTGCACAAATAAATAATGAAGATCAAATGCGGATAGTTAGAAAAACACGCACGGCTCGAAGAAGCTGACACCCGCCTCTTCAGTTCCTTCAAGACCATGGACGTTGCAATACGTTCGAAACGTTGAGGTAATTAAAATATGTTTTTATACGTGATTAAGTCCCGAATTAGAAATCAAATAATGTGTGAAAATCGTGAATGTTTCAATCAAAGTAAAGATCAAACACTTAGGAAAAATCCTTCGATCGGGCTGAATTCGAACTAGCGTCTTCTAACGAACCGTGGTAGATGCTACGTCAACTAAGCAACGCAACGAACGAATCAGCGGGCCCAACTAATTTTCTGTGCATGTTTCACATCTATGTTTAGGTTTTGACGACTTTTTTCCGTAGTGCCATCTGTGAGAAATGTAGTGCTTAGTTAACATAGCACGTAGCAGGCGTCTAGCGTCTAACAATAATTAATTACATTACATTTATGTATTATTTTCTACCAATCCAACGCAATGTAAGTAAACAAGCATGTGCAAATGTTACCTGTACTCCATAAGTTCTTCTAGCGATTTCTCGGCTTCGACGATGCTGAGGTGCACCTCGAGTTCCTGCTCGATGTACGCGCGAACGGCAGTCTCCTTAACGCTACCCTTTGCATTGCGTTTGAGTTGCGCTGTTTTTTGGCGCTCAAGGGCTTCCTGTTACGGCAATCACAAGTATCAAATGCTGGATACCTGAAGAAGAAATCGGTAGAGGCAGTACTCTGTGGCCCATATAGATCAGCGACGAGAACGGTAGTCTTATAAGGACAAGGCAATCCAATCGTAACTCAATCAATCTGAACTGAGTTCGAAAAAGATACTAGGTGTAATATACACATAACCTGACGTTTAGTTTAGGCAGGAACACTTCCAATAAATCTTAAAACGTGGCTTAATCTGCTTCTTTTTAGACTTGATGAGTCCAGCAGTGCGACACTTTATTAAGATATTGCAGACACTTGCCTTAAGTCGCTTGTTAACAGCAACGGCCTCCTCCATTTTCCGCTTGAGCACGTTTTGCTGCTTCGCGTGAAGCGACTCCATCTTGGCCATGGCCGTGGCGCGCTTGCGGTCCTCGTTGCGCAAGCGCAGCATGGCGCGCTCGTTGTCTGCCTTCCATTTGCGGAACTTCTCGCTCTCTTCGCGCATTTGCCGGATTATTTTCACCTATTGATAAATGTTTTAAGTGGGGTGCACAGAGTTGTGAGTCTTGGCATATATGAGCAAGTAGGGCAGCTTCCGCCTTTTCAGCGCGTAAATGCCTTCACGTCGTCCCTCAGAGCATAAGGTTGTTACATTATTATTTTGGTTGTACCTATAGACTGTAAGCATGATACGTTCCACGCAGTATTCTCGTGCTATACTGAAATAGCCTTTGTTAAATGCAGTAAGTACTTATGTATTGATATTTTTTTACTAGTATCGCAGATGTGTATCTTAATTATGAAGTATGGACGGAACCCATCAGAGTACGGTTATTTACACAGGTGGGTTTCCGTCCATTTAATGTTAGGTGGTTTCAATCCGCTTTGTCCGAGCCAACGTGTAGTGCCGCGAAGATTTTGTATACATGTTTGGTTAGGAAGTATTTTGATATATCTGTATGGATTTTATTAAGTACTTTCTTGATGTATCGTTTTAAAATGGGGCTGTGCATGTTCAATAATGCTCAAATACCTTAACGTGTTTCCGTGTACGGCGCGTGGCGTGTTTGGTCATATTCAAGTCGCGCTGCTATGTTTTGTATTGGTTACCGTACTTGTATTATATTATTATTATACTATAGTATTTATTATAATCTACCTCGGATAGTAATTCACTACTTTATGTAATATAGCCAAAAAAATAGTCAATGAAAAAAAATGGGAATTTAACATTGACTTCACCTACAAACTGTAAATTAGAAAAGGTTTTTAATTTCAACTTAAAGAACTGTGTAAATATAATTAATAATCCGAAGGTTAAATACAATTAATAAGTACATAATTACTTCTAATAAAGTACGAGATTATGAAAAATTACGCTAAGTATTGTTGAATTATCTTTCACATTTAAGACTTCATAGACCTATAATAATAACGTCTACTCTGTTGGAGCCGTCTTACATATTTGTACGAAATAAACTGGAAGTACAGACTGTCATTTCACTAAATGCATTGAACTCCCAGTAGATTTATATATACGTAAAAGAGTTTGACATGCCTTGGTAGCTTTCATAGCTTGCAGCTCTGCGTTTAGTGCGGCTATTTTGGCTTCATTCTTCTCCTTGGTCTTGATGATGTTAGCCTGCTGCTGGCACTTCTTCTTCAGCTCAGTTATCTCTGCTTCTAATGTCGACACCTTGTGACGACGCACCTCGTTATCTGGGTCCTTGCTCTGCGTAAAAATCAAAGGTTTAATAATTAAAAAACTCTTTTATCAGTATTTTTACAGGTTCTGCCCTGTAAGTATACTGATTTTCAATATAAAATTTTCCTGTTATAAGGCAGGAGTACAGACAAGATGAAGTATTAAATTTTTATTAAAATAAACGTCAGAATGTTTAACCACCGTGAAATTCAATTAGTTTTTGTGAAATTACTCCACTAGTTTGTTACTAGGTGGTAAGCGACATCCTTATCATTAGTCACTTACGTAATAGTCACTTTACTGCTTGATGGCAGAAATAGTGACAGTACTTCCCCAGGGAACTCCTTCACAAGAAACTCTACTGCTACTAAATTTATTTAGTATGAGACCAGGTAATTGTTCTAAACACGACAAATAAATAATTTCGTAACGATTACTTTATGGTATATGAATTGACAGTAAATCATTTGACTATAACTCAAACTTGGAACACATGTTAGAAAAATAATAAAAACACACCTTGGTTTGCTTGAGTTGTTGCATAAGCTCATCCCGTTCCTTCTCCAGCCGAGAGATGCGTTCTTCGTTCTCGCGTAGATTCGTGTGACTATCAAGCATTTCCTTGTTGTTGGCCAGTATGGCTTGAACTACAGACGCCTTGATCGCCATCGCGTGGTTTAGTTCGCGTAACTCTTGGGTCAGAGCCACCTAGAAGTAACAGAAAGAGATTATAGTCAATGGAATAGATTGTTTATAACCATAGGATAATTAGTGTTCTTTATTGTGTGATAAAATAATTTTGCGCATAGTTAAAAATACGAATTATAATTGGTATTCAAAAAATTTACTGAAGCTTTTTTAATATGATTCCAAAAATTTATTGGAGTGCTCCATTTAGTTCTTTCTTGTTGTTTTTACTAATGATATTTTTAAATAAATTTCTGGATATGGTAAATGTATATGTATTTCAAAAAGCAGCCCTTAGATTTTCTTATTCGTCAGAATTGGCCTTACGAATGAGTAATAGCAATTTAACAATTTCGCGTATCAAAAATCTCTGGTAGTGACCAGGTTAAATCTTGCACATTGATTTTTCTTCATATATATTAAATTTTAAATAAAAATTGTAAATTATAAATGTGTACAAATATTTGTTTACAAAGAGCAACCCAGAAGGTTTTTATCAATGTGACGATTTCTAGTGTAAATTGCTTACTTATGAAGATATATAGAAATAAAGATAAAATTGAGTAAATTTTATTAAAAAAATTTATTCAAGTCACGTGGTTGGTCAGTTAGGGTGCACGAAAGGAGCCTTTCCGTATGACGTACCATTCCATTATTATACATAACTGGGCTGTGCAGTAAGTAAGTAGGCTTTTAGAATAAGGTGAAGGTTTTGATTAATACGTTTCTTCACAGTAAAGTAGTGTTCATACAACAGATGTACTCTAATTCCATGCCATGGTTATGGAGCTGTGGAGCGTGCAATGCTCGGCATTTCTCTACGTAATCTAATCAGAAATGAGGAGATCCGTAGAAGAACGAAAGTAACCGACATAGCTCAAAGGACTAGCAAGTTGAAGTGGCAGTGGGTAGGGCTCATAGCCCGTAGAACTGACGGCCGTAGGGGCAGAGAGGTTCTCGAATAGAGACCACGAACCGGAAGGCGTTCAGTGGGACCGCCCCCTACTAGAGGCACGGATGAGTGAGATGACGGGTAATCTGACAATATTTGGGGGAGGCCTATGTTCAGCAGTGGACATATTCCGGCTGATGTGATGATGATGATGAATTCCATGCCGTGAAATGTGACAGAGCTTTAGCCAATCTTATGATAAGTGCTATTCCCATGTCCCAAACGCTCAATTGAATGAATCATTCCACAAGTATGGAATTATTCTGGTCATATCGAGAACCAAGGTTAGTCACAGACTGATTTTGATCCTGAAATTATATCGCAAAAAACTGGGCTCTGTAGAAATTATGGATATCTGCTACAACCTTGGTAAATATTTTTTGTACGCCCGTATCTTAACATTTTTCCATCCGCCCTAATTTTACAAGTATTATCTAGTTTTGAAATAAAAATAAATTTAAAACAAAACATATACAAACCTGTCCGATCGCCCGTTTTTCTTCCTCCAGCACAGCTTGCTCCTCATTGAAAATGGCATCCTCATCAATCTTGTCATTGTCTCCTTCGGTCACGAAAGACACCTTGATCTCATGGTCTATCAACTCCTCATTCGTTTTCACATTCATCGACTGAAGGTCTTCTAATCTCGTCTTGATTTCCTTCAAATAATCAACCACACCTGTCTTCTGTGACTCATCTTCAGACGTATTAAGTTTATCAATTGTTTGATTACATTGCTCTGTCAATTCATTTAATTTTCTTTCGATTTTCTCCTTAGCAGCTTCAGCTAATAACGCCTTTTCGCAAAGATTTGTATTCTCTATCAACATATTGTTAAGATGTTCTGTTATTTGCTTGTGCTTCTTTAGCAAGTCTGAGTATTTGGCCCGCTCCCTTTCAAGTTCGTCTTGTAGCTGCTCGTTGTTTTGTTCGCTCGTGGACGGCAGTTTTCCGAGTAGTTGTAGACGTAATTCGTTAACTAGTTTGTTTAGCCTGTAAGTAATTGGAAAATTGTCAGTCATTGAAAATATTGTTCAACCATTAAAATAAGTGAGTGGTATGGGAGCGCTCCATTCTCAGATTGGCTGAAAACCATGGACCAATAACTAGAGATTGCTAATCACGATACAAAACAACGCATTCGGGTATTTAGTACCTCGACCCCTCCTACGTAAAGTATTGTATGTCGAAATTGCCAAGTTTACAGGGGAGCGTTTTAAAGTTTTCAATTCACTGAAATGAGAATAACACGTGACTTTAGCATTTCTCATTTTTATTCTAAAAATTTCTAAAATATATATAGAACACAAAACAAAATTTTAATTTGTATATTTAATTTGTAAATATTTCTCGTGCGTGCACACTATTTCCCCAAAGGATAATTCCGTAACTTAGGTGGGAATGAGTGTAAGCATAATAAGCGGCCATTGCAGTCATTAGGTCAGTCGTTTTCTTTACCTCTCTCAATGCTTACGTGAAATTAGACAACTTTTTCTTAATTTTTTGTATATGACATTTCCAATTCACATGCTTGTCTATATTTAAACCCAGCAAAGTGAAGCTGTGTACTGTTTCTACAGGCGTGTTATTATATGCATATACTAAGTATAATGGAGTTTTTTTGCGGTGGGTGAAATTTATATCCAAGTTATGGTCAGACATCCAGTTTATGACCTCAGTGAAAACATGGTGAATTTTTGCATTCACGTTGTCGCCGGTACCACATGATGTCAAAAGTGAAACATCGTCGGCAAACATGACACAGTGTTCAGAAATAGATTTAGGTAAGTTATTGATATAGATTAGAAAAAGTAAACATCCAATCACGCTGCCCTGCGGTATTGAACTTGTCATGTAATGCTGGTCAGATCTAACGTTACATATTGTACATGTATTATAGTCAAAAAATTCTATGTCAACATACTGAACTCGTTTTTGTAAATAAGATTGCAACCACTTGTATGCTTCTCCCCCAATACCTATACTATACATTATATTGTACTTTATCATAAGCTTTCGTCATATCTAATAACATTCCGATCGCGTACTGTGTGACTTAAATAGAAACTAAATAGTAATTAGACATATATAATCAAGAATTATAATTAATTAGAAATATTGTAAAAGCGTGAGACCTCAACTATTGTCATGCCCGTACAGGGTTGTCATACTTGTATCATGTGTGATGTGCAATAAATAAATAAATAAATAAAATACAGAATATTTTAGGAATATACGGAGAGGTCTTATTTCAATGCAAACGAGAGTTGATATTTATAAGTGATGTATCACTGATTAGCTACCAGGAATGTATGGCCCTTATTTCGTCTCTATCTGGCTATATACCCGATGAGCCGGCTACTCTTTAATTAAATTTAGGATTAGGGCCATATACCCGTATTAGGAAGCATTCATTTATAAATAAGTTTGTAACACACAATGCCATATATTGACAAACATATCTGTCAGAGTTTAGAAAATAATTTTAACTCATGATAAATATAAAAAAAACTGACTTTTTATATCTTATATTAAAGAGAAATGAATTGAAATCCAAGGCCGTGTACATAATTTAAACTACTTCCAGGGTATTAATCAGTGCACTTAAGTAGTGAAAATTGTTTTACCTAACGATCTCCGCAGCCTTGGCATCTTGGTTAATGACAGGCTTGTTACGGATGCGGCGCGCGCGATCCGCGTACCGCAGTGTTGATACCGTTTCGTCCAGGTTGTAGTCCGCAGGTGATACGCACGCTACCATGAGTGTTAGGGAGTTGCCGCCTAGACTGTCTGTAAACAGGAAAATATACGACATTTTATTATTATTTCTCTTCTGTTTGGTTCTCATCTTTAAGTATATCGCTGTGTTCTATACGCACGTAACAATATTTTAAATAATATATATAACTAAATGTGTATAAGCAACTGTGTGTTTGCCTATTACATATGTTGTTTAACAAATTTTCTCTGCCTCCAAAAAGCCCAAAATAACATTCTCAGGGTGTTATCTGCTGCAACCTGGTACGCTCGAAACTCAGAAATCCACACCATCTGGATACACCAATGGTTCTCGAATCTAAATGCTATTCAGTTCACTATAGACAAGTATCGAGCGCACATTGTTCTATCGATTGTTGATTTGATTTTAAAACACCCATTTTGTTTTTAAACACAACACAAACATCAACACTGTATTGTCTGTTGTCTTTCCTGGTATGGTTTCTATATTTATTTTTATGTCACAATAAAGAAATAGTTATTAGCTAATAGTTCTAAGGTTCTAGGTTCTAGGTTCGTTAATTCTTGCTACCTCAAACGGTCTCAAGGGGGAGCCACTATACAATTTTCTACCCCAGTTCGAAAAAATCGTTGATCCCGCGCTGTTTGGTCGACTGACTGCAGATTTTCAAGAGAAAGAAAAATGTGGGAACCTTTGATTGCGCCAATAACTTAGCAGGAATTAATTTGTAATCTCAAGTTTATTCATGAGTTAGTTATCATCATAGTTTTATCAATATATGCATATGTGTATTCACATGTGGGAGCTTTTTTTTATGATATCAAGTGACGGAACGAACAAGTCACGGGACTGGTGATAAGCGATACACCTGGCCTTAACAGACATTTAAATCACAAAGATCTGGGGCACTGCCGCTGCGCCAGTCATCCTGAGACATAAGTTGACAAGTCCCATGTGCCTGTAATTTCATCAGCACGCTACAAAACCGTAACGCTCGGTAAGGTAAGGTTATGTAAACTCGTAATTGGCATCTGATTGATCACATTGAAATCCATCTTGTAAAAGTAGCTGTAAGTTACCCTAATAAAAAAAAATATTTAAAAAAATAATTGAAATTGTTAAAAATTGCTTAAAATATTTCTATCTAACAGTGCTGAACAATATGTTATGGTAGCTTCAGCACTAGAAATTCATGATAAACACTGAATAATTACATTTAAATGTACAATTACATGTTGAACTTTTGCTACATGTTGAATGGCTCTTTGTGACTGTTCTAGTTATGTTAAGTGTCACTTACCCTGCAGTAATCTTGTGAGCTTGCTATCCCTGTACCCAATGAAACTTCTATTAGTGCCATCTCCAAGCGCCGAGATGACATTACCCAATGCCAGCAAACCCTGATTAATTTTAACTCCTTCCTTAAGTCTCTCGCCTGATGCTTTAGTTTTCTTTATACGCTCTGAACCTGCTAGGTCTACTAGGTGAAATTTTGATGTTGTTGCTATGTTTCTGTAGAGTAAATATATGATCAATTAGGAATGGGGCCAGAAATATCATGTAATCCTAACTGTCTCACATTTCTTTACATTTGCATGAGAAAAAATTGTACTCTGTAAATTTTATAGCTGGACGAAAGATTTCTTCATCCAATAATAGAGCAGCATGAAAACATAATTTTAAAGTTTTGTCTTGTTTCTGAGTGTTCAACAAACTGAACAATTAGCTTGTCCCAAAAACTTAGGCAAACATGGTGTCACCAATTTTGTAAATCAGAACCAATTTAGAAATTGTTTTGTCCTGAAATGTTCTGACCAGGAATTGAATGTGGGACCCAGACAGTTGGGCCACCACTAGGCTAACTGCCATTTGTTCCAACACAGTGATTTTCTATCTGGTGTCCTGTTGCTGCAAGGTGGGCCACAGGAAGAGAGGTATCACATCAATGTAACTCACTTGTCAGTGCGGCTTTCCTTGGCGATAATGATAGTGAATACCGCGTGGCTGCGACTGGAGGCTTGGTTCATGGCGGTCGAACCTGTCACGCGGCCTAGTGAGCCCTGCTCGAGTATCATCATGGTTTCCATTGTGGACGTTACTAGCTTTTCTGTTATGCCTGGAATTTTTATGGTAAGTTGATGATAAGTATACATATAATTTTATGTAGAGTAAATCCCTCTTCTCTGGTTGGAAGTAGACTAAAGCATATCTCTATGAGAAGTTATCTAGCATCTCTCATATTTCTGGGACAAAACCATTATTGCCTTTAGACATATTGAAACTACTCTGGCGCCTATCCCCGTTAAAAGAAAGATGCTGCTTTAACGGCATAAAATCTTTTCATATCCAGAAGTCACACTGAAGTTTTAGTGCAGTGCAGAATAGTAGACTTTGACTTTTAAAAAAATTACCTGGCAATATCACGCCTTTGTTAATATCCTCTCTAATCTCAATTATACTATGTCCTCGTTCCTTTCCTGATAGCAAGTCATAGCATTGCTCCTGATAAAGCTCCATGAAGGAAACATTTACTCTAAATATGAACTTATCTTCGTGTGTGTCTATATAGTCAAATATGTCTGCTACAGCTTGTGGAATTACACCTGGAATAACAATGTAAATTAATTTTAAGAAATAAATCCTGCTAAAACAAACAAAGGGCCATCGGCAATGTAAAGAATGATATATGATGTGATTCACAAGTTGCTTGCATATAGCAACTTTTAAGTCTCTGAAATATAGAGTACAACTACCACTGACATGATTTGTTCCTAAATAAATAGATTTAGAATAAAATAACAAATATTGAAAATGCCTATTATTTAAACTTTATTTATCTCAGCATGTTAATCATTAATATAAATAACATTATAGAGTTTTGTATAAGACTATGGTGATGACGAAAGTTCCATAGCGGGAAGGCACAGACATCAACAACAACAACAACAACCAGAGGACATAAAAACTGTTGGAGCCAAGAAGTTCCTTCAGTTCTTGATTGGGTAGAAGATTAAAATAAAAAAATACAGAATAGTGTATACCTAGTTTTGTAGAGTCCCCATCTGAGCCAGAGTAATTAGTGCCCATGGTGTAGGTTTTTCCTGACCCTGTTTGTCCATATGCCAGGATGGTCACATTGTAACCTGAAATTAGACAATTTTAGGTTATAGTTCTTTTTCATTAACAATTATATGCAGTCACGAAACTTGCCAACATAATCTCACTTTGGGCCCTTGCGGACCAATTGTAAACAAAGTAGCCTTAGTCATCATGCCAACTGTGCAGTCTACCCCAACATTGGCGACTATAATTTAACATATTCACAGTCCCTCATATAAAATCCGAATTCAACCCCCTAAGTCCACTGGAATTTATGAGAAATAGTGTTGGATTTGTCTTTTACTCTCACATTAAATATATCCCAATTATTTTGTTATTTTTGAAAAGTACACTTCCTATAAAAGAACACCCAATTCAACATAGCATACTACCTCAAGGTTGTACTTGTTGAACAACTACTACTTCTTGTTGGAGTTGCAAATACATGTTGCAACTCCATGGGCAGGGTTCGTATGAACTCATACATTACAAAAATTCCCGAGCCCGGAATGCTTCTACGGCCGCCTCTGTGTGGCCTGAGCCTTATTGTGCTTATTAATAAGCACATTTCAGCATATTATGTTTGTTAGTTTAATAAGGTATGTATTTATGGGTCTTTGTAACCTGAATATAAATAAATGAAAATTAAAAAAATAATAAAGTTCATACTATAGCTGATGATACCTCATGTAAAACACGTAGTTTTATATAAGGTATCATCAGCACAGCTTAAAATCAAACATGCTGATGCTTGCTGAAAAATGGAGTCCTACCTTAAGTTTTTACTGTGGAATACACTATTTTGTTGTTGTAAATAGCTGTGGTAAATAAATTTCTTATACTATACTATACAAAATAATCTTGTGAAACATTATGTTGCGAACACAACAGAATTTTTGTATAAAATGTAATATAACTTTTGAAGCAGTAACTAATCCCTCATCAAAAGCACATTACATAGGCCGGGGGTTCTATTTTTCTACTTACCAACCTCCTAACACCACATACATGTTATTTCATCTCTACAACAACTGAAGAAAAATAGTTCACCCGTGGATCCCACCGGAGTCAAAAGACATAAAAATATATCCTATGATCCCATGGAAACATAGTGGCAAAAATGTTACTCACAACTGCCATAGGATTATAGGCATGGGAGCCAAGTGGCAGGAGTGAATGAAATAAGCTTTTTTCTGAACTAAAAGATCAAAAAGGATGTTCACTTTTGAATTGTACTTTCATAAGAAACCACCACTGTTTAGCGATTAATGGCACTAATCCTGTAAACTGCTAACGTATTGCCAATATATTACAGTTAACTTAAACAGTTTTTAATTTTACAAGCTCGTCGAGATTCTTACATCTTCTACTTGGGAATGATGATATTTAATATTGCATATAATTAAAATTTTAAGTACTCTTGAACAGCATTAAAATCATCCTTATAAAAAAATTATCATGTAAAACAGGCACTGCGGCATTGAGTCCCGAAACCAGCGTGTTATATTGTGCCATACCTACCATACCACCTCCATCATAACAATCAATTTAAAAAGCGTATTTTATACATAAATAGAAACTAAACAATACAAACCCTGAAAAAGCTTCCCTATAAGGCCCTTCACAGCAGTGTCATAAAACTCCTGCTGTGTGATATGCTGCGGGAACACATAGTTGTATGTGAAAGCGAGGTCCTTGATCTGGACCTGAGGCTCGCCTGAAACCACGTCGATGCACTCATCGCACCCTCTGTCCAGCTCCGATTGCATCAAGGGCCTTATCCTCAAAGCCACTTGAACTGTGTCTATTGTACCCTTACTACTTTCGTCAGCCATTTTTTATGCGTTTTCCTAAAATTATAAAAAAAACACTTCCACCGTCTTCACCAGCTCTGGACGTCCTGTTGACACGGGCGAAGGAACCGATACGACAGTTCCTTTACGTGAAATGGCATCTGAATTGTGTGTCAAACCAGATATTTTAAACTTTTTGACCTGGAACAAAAAAGATTTCATAGGTTTTGACAGTGCTAATAATTTTTGATCACTTCGCAAATATTTTTTTGGGAACTTAGTGTACCAAGTACCAACTGAACATTTTCTAGAAAATATCGCTGGTATATGGAAATGAGAAAAACGTTACTTGTTCGTTTCTTGGAAAGTAACCTAAGACAAACTTTGAAAGATAACTTTACCTACGTAAGTTCACTAATTACCTCAGATAAAATAAAATAAATTTATTTACAGTCCTTTCCTTTGCCTATATTAACACAGAACGGTTGAAGCAACGAATTTAAATTTGAATTTGTATCCAGCGTTGCCAATGCCAATTGTTCAAAATTCCCAATAATCACGGTTAAAATCCTCAAATTTGGGGAGAGCAAAGTTCATATTCCACACAACTCGAGTTATCATTATTTATTACAAATACATCGCTTAAACATATGATATACATATAATTAAGAAACTCAAAATGTAATCATCTATTACGTTTGCTGTGAATGTAAACAGAATGTAAAATGTAAAGCAAATTGTAAAATTAGATGCCTTAAATCGTTTATTTGTTTTAATGAGATTCAACATTAATCAGCCTTTGAAAAAAAAAATTTCTTTGCCTTACAAAATTAAGTAACTTAATTATTTGTTGCACATTTGGTGACACTATGTTAATGTTAGAAATAATCAATGACTAAATTAAGTTTCGACGTATATTTAATATTTAAAGTTGACGAGTGGTAAGTAGTGGTGTGGTAGTAACTGCTCGGCTTTGTTTATCAATAGCTGATTTCGTTTTTCTTCATACTGAGACCGACCCAAACGGGAGAAAGGACTGCGTACTCAACATGCACCGACTGGTAGTTTTACAATTCAGAACCTGCCTGTTAATAATGCGATTGAAAAACAGATCGATATAGTTTATCACAATGTTTTCATCAGCAACGATCAAATAAGCGATGCATCAGCAATCGATAGATTAAACAAAATGATAAAATGATAGAATCCCCACATTTTTCCCACATAGCGCCAATCATCACAAATCCCCAATCGAGTTGAAATTCTTTCAAATTCCCCGCAATTTGGGGAATTTCCCACAAATTGGCAATGCTGTTTGTATCACGATTTTTCACAGAAACAGTAATTGTGCAGTCGTAAAGTGCTAATAAGATAGCAAAATACTACATTATATGCTACTGTTTCATTCTAACTTGTTGAAATAATTAATGTATAAATTAAATAAGTATCCATAATAGTGTTGCTAGCTTAAATACTCGAGTTGTCAAAAGTTATTAAAGCCATTTTGTCATTTAATTTACGAGACGATAATATCAACAACCAACAACAACAAGCTTGTTTGTTCACACGCCGATGTATGGTCGCGTCGGGTGTGTGCGCACCCGTTTGAGTGTCAACGCGAGTCTTTGAGCGTGAACGCGGCCGTTTAATTTCACAAATTCTTCACTAAATTAACTAATTAACGAATTAACTTCACAAAAGTCTGGCAACACTGCCTGCCAACAGCTGTCAAAATCAAAAAACGAGCGAAAACTAGAAGTTCTTTGCTTTTTATGTATGAAATCATTTGTTTCGATGGAGCCATATCATATAAAATAAGAAAAAGAAGTATGAAATCATTGTAAAAATCCTTGAAGTCAGGCATTTACGTACAAAATTACTGGTTTTAAAAGTGCTGTGGATGTTGAACGTGTTGTTAAACAATTGTAAACCGAATTTTGGACTAATGGTGATTTTATCATATTCACTCTCAGCATCATGCCACCTCGAACTAGAGCAAGTAAACCAGCGAAAGGCTTAAAAGAAAACGTCGAAATTGTTGAAAAAACAAAGATTATGGTTTTAGGAAAGGTCACAAAGCCTGCGAGGAAGGCGTTAGCAGATAAAACAAACTCTGCGTCAGATGACAACGCATCTGTCGAAATTTCAAAAAAGGTGACCAAGAAACCAACAGAAACGGGTAAAGAGAATAACGAACGGCCGCGTCGCGACAGACGACTGCCTAATAGATTTGTTGAAAACAATGTTTTGAAGAATATGTCTAATAACAAAGAAACATTTACTCCTGAATCTACAATGAACAAGACGCATACACCTACAAAGAGCATTGTAAACATTAATTCAAACGCAGAAATGTCTTTTAAGACGCCACAGAACCCAGTTGAGATAAGCTTCATGGCTAATAGGCCCCGGAGAATATGCCGATTGCCATCTAAATTCGAACACCATTCAATAAGCCCCAGTAAGTTTCTTCCCGTACAACCAGTGCATGCAAGTACACCTAAATTGCAGAAAACTGGCCCTAAACCGACTGAAAATAGAAAAAAGGCAAATTCCAACGCTAATGAGCACCAAAATATCAGGAATGAGAAGATTGATAAGGCTTCTAAAAGTAGTAATACTTTGCAGCCTGAAAAACCTAAAACACACTTGAAGAAGGATGTATTAGTCAAGAAAACTAGTAAGCTTATTGCTACAAATAATCCTGGTACACAATGCAGAACATTAAGAGGAAGAAAGGTGGAAGTAACAAACTCTTCCCTTATGACTAAACAAAAAACTACAAAAACAAAAAAGTCTCTAGATGGTTCTAGAAACAATTCCTCTAAAACACTTAGTGCTAAAAATGTATTACCAATTTTCTCATTTAGAGTGCTTGAAAACAAAAACTCATCACAAGACAAAAAGAATCAGGATATCTATGAGTTTACATATGACCCTAATGATGAACCACCACCTCAGAAGAAAAAGAAACGAAGGGTTGTTAAGAAAAAGCCGTCAAAGCCCAAAACTGTAGTATTCAAACATAATTATGACCGAAATCTGTCTAAAACTTTGTCAGCTCTTAAAAGTGCTGTTGCTAAGAAACATGTTGAAATACAAAAAACACCTAATCAAGAGATAAATCCTAATTCAGTAATGGCCAATAATCATGGGACTATCCAAATATCCACAAACGTGGAATCTGTAACAAATACAGTCACCAGTAAACCAACCACACCAACTACAATTGAAGCCCCTACATTTCCAGAAAGAAACAAATCAGTACAAATAGAAGACATTGCTGCAGATTTAGAAATCTCATTAGATCATCAAGACCTAAATTATTCCCCAGTTAATTCTCCGGATCCTAATTGTTTAAAAAGCCCTACAGTTCAAGTACAACCTCCAACTCCTCAAACAAGTCCTAGATACAATAATGATCCGTTGAATTTGAGAGATAATTTAAGCTTCTTTGATGATCAACCTGTTGCAAGTAGTAGTATGAATATGTCTGTGAGACATCCGTTAGCCAGCCCTTGGAGGATTGAATTTGAAAGTCTTCCTATCAAATGGCATGTCAATTCCTATGTTAAACCTAACATGACACCAGCAGTTGAATGTTCATTTGTGAACTTTGAAGACAGTAAGAAAAAACATGTTTATACTAACATGGTACCACAAAGCAATGAACCATTGCCTCAGATTGTTGAAAAGAGTTCTGCTAATCTTGTACAGCCTAGTATAATTTCTTTCATAAAAGAAGTTGTGGAAAAGAGTGCTAGTAAAAAGCCAAGACCAAGGTCTGAGACTCCAACAGCTTGTATTTTCAGTGAAGCTACTAATTCTAGTAAAGTAATTGATAATGTGACAAAACATACCAGGCAAGTTATTACACCTAAGAAAACTACAACAGATAAGGCAACATCAAAAAATACACCAAACTCTTCAAACAAGAATGAAAATTCAACTACATTGAATAAGCAAAATCCTCGTGAAAGTTTAAAACGTAAAAATGATTTTGATCTAATTGAAATACCAGCTAAAACTCCTAGGCAAGATAACAACAATTACTTTGGTTTTGATGACAGTGAGATTGATCAAGAGAATGTATCTCCTAATAAAAATATAGATGCTCGGAAAGTAAGAGCTCTGAGGCCAAGGGCTAGAGAAGTATTAAAAGAGATTAATGAACAAGGACCAACCCGTGCTTTACTGCCTTTGGCAGTAAAACCTAAAGATTCTGAAAGAGTAAACAGATTATATGAAGAGATGAAATCTGCTACTGATGCTCCAATATTCCCTGATGAGGATGCGTTACAAAATGAACCAGCCCCAGAGACAACTAATATTGATTTAATTGATAATGAAGATTCACAATCTGTGCATTTGTTTGAGGATATTGAATTTGCACGTCATTTGAATGTGAGTATTGGTAAAGTTACATCTTTTTTATTTAATTGTTGCATATTCTGTACCATCTTGGTGAAACCTATTCTATTTTAAGCTGAAAAATATGCACTATTCTTGATCTATCCATTATTTCTTACAATTGAGTAACATTGAAACATAGTTATGGTTAAGCTATCATATCTTCAGGCTGTAACAAAAAAGTGCGACAATATTTCAGTTGGGATTTCATTTATAAAAGTTAGGAGGAGAGATAATCTATCTCAACACTCAGTGCTACCTGTAAGATCCATAATTTGTTATTTAAGTGTTACGATGTCTTCTTCCAGGCCCATTGTAAAAGCTATAGCAAAGCAAAGAAAGTAGCATTCCGCCAACCATCAACATCTGACAGTGATTCTCAGAGTGTCAACATAGTACAGGCTGAGGCCTCTAGCGGTGAAGAAGATGACTTAAATGACCTCAACTTTGAGGTGCCTTTGGTTGAAGAGAAGAAACCCAGAAAGAAACGAAGTAAGAAACAGAAAATGACAAAAAAAGAGGTAAGCTAACTTAAGATAGAAAATTGATAACCCTTCAGTTTCAAGTTTTCTATTTATTGGATGAGTAAAACCTACCAATCTTTTTGTTTGTGTGCCATTCAAACATATTGAAAACTACTGTGACAATCGGCCTCATTTTAAATTTTTGTGTATTATACAGTTTGAGATGGGTGGGTCTACAGATGGGAATACAATTTAACATAGTGGTGGTGAAGGATTCTAACAGAAATGGCATAACATAGATGAGACCCGCGTCATGGGATTGCGCAACCAATATACATATATGTGTCAATATTTCTAATGTTGTCAACATATACAGTATGCTGTACTTTACTTAGATTTTAATATTAGTTCACAAATAAGTTTTTGCCTATTCTTTGGTAGGTAGATAGACAATCAAAATATTATTTGCAATCTTATACGACAGCACGGCGATACTAGCTAGCCTATTTCTTGTCATTATCGCTGTATTTCACCCAGGCAGAAAGATATTTGGTGGAGATTGTTGTAGTTGAAATGTAACAGTAGACAATCTTAATATGATACATTAAAATACTCTAAAATAATAAATGAACAAACAAATTATTAAAAATACAGACAGGCAGTAATTGTTCTGGAGCACGGGAGTAGACCCTATCATGTCAATAGGTACCCAGACCAAAGGAAAATGAAAAATTGAATTAGAGTTGGAAAAGCGAAAGCGGTATGACAGGAACAAAGCAAGTGGTGGTAGTCTTTGCCTGTCCCATTAGGGGACAGATGTAATGGTACCTCTTTGTATGTAGGGTCTTGTTTTGTTGCACTGGATGTGATATTCGAACAAACGTGTATAGCTTGATGTGCTGTTGAATGCGCAAAAAATTAAATATAAACTAATTGTTTGCAGCGCGCGGAGGCAGAAGCATGGGCAGCGAATTTTAACTCTATGTGCGAGGACGTCGAAGATTTCCCGCTCGTTTTGGAATAAACCGCGATCATGATGTAAAGTTAAGTTTCTACACTAGTGACATTAAAAATGTGATTAAATACGCCTAAACTATTTGTACTCTACAATAGGAGCAACAAAATGTTTTCATTTATTTCTTGAAATAGTTATTTGTTATGCAAGGCTGCAAAGTTGTTATTGGACGCGAGTGCTTATGTTGAAACCTGAGCAAGCTAAGGATACTAATAGTATCTTGAGCACAGCAAGGGTTTCAAGCCACGAGACTTAAAACAACTTTGCTGCCGAGCGAAACACACAGTTTTTCACCTCAGTATAATGCGAGGAAAATGGATGAAAGAAAAACAGTTGAACCATAACAAATCGGTTTTATTCATTCATACATTAAAAATAATTTAATAAACAAAATTAGGTATCGTTCGATATTTAAAATCAACAATAAGAATAAAATATACCAACGGATTTATATTACATAAATAATGTACGACAAATCGCGTAGTTGAACGTATCATGTTTTTTTTCAAAAAGTTAGGTGCACCACAGTCCATGGTTTATTACGAATTTCAAAAACCTTTTCGCCTCTAGCGTTGAAAAAATGCTTTTGCGCGCAGATTTCTAATAAAAAAGCCTTTCCGAGCTAGTGAGGTGAAAACGTATTTTGCAAGTTTTCTAAATAACCGGTGTCTTTACTTGAACTCACTAATGGCTGTCTTCCAGTCTTCTTGCAAATTTTGATGAATGATGATGAACGGAAAATTGATGATTAAGTTTTCCGTTACAAAATCAAGAATGTTTTACACAATACTTGCTTTGGCTAAATTATTATAAGAATTTTATTTGTAAGTGCTATAAGAGCACAATTAAGTTTTTAGTTTTATTGTAAAACGTAAGCTACAATATAAGTGTCCCATTATGGAAATTTTATAAAGCCACTATCTGGAAATCATGGGATTACTATGTATTAATATATGGTATATCTTTTTTACTTCTAAATCGATTTTATATAACAGGTTTGAAAATAAGATGAATATGGAGTTCTTAGGTTTTCGCGATTGTTACACATATTATGACCATGTTCCAATAAGATGAATCTTTTAAAGGACAAAAAACAAAAAGACAAAACTGTCGACATTGTCCTTTCAACTCTGTGAGAGTTGAAAGGACAATGTCGACAGTTTTGAGATCCGATAATTTTCTTTTTATATAGGAAAACCTGTAATATTAGCGAAACAAGAATTTCCACTAGAGTTTAATAAATTAAATAAACTTGTAACATTACGACCATTTCTTTTTGCTTCTTTTTTAACATACTGATTCTATAAAACATAACCGCTAATAACATTTAATATTAAGAATACTTTTTAAATTAAGTTTTTTGCGTTTGAAGTTTAAGAGTGAATTTATTTATTATTTTTAGATTATGACGGGAAGGATAAGTTTATTTATAATATTTTTTGTGTTATAAAAATATGTTTTTTACAGTACAACATTACCGTTAAAGATGTGTATACATGCAGTTTAATGACTACTCAGTTAAAATGAGTAGGAATATCTCCAGCAAGAAGTTTGTAATTTTTAAACATAAATTTTCTGGGTGACATTTGTAGCGATATACCATGATCTTTTAATATTTTAAATAAAAGGCGTAAGACGTAATGTCCATGAAATTTATATACAAAACTTAGATACTTTAAAATATAAGTACATCATCTTATTTGGCATTTGCACCATGTGCCATTTATGAGTAATTTTATTGTTTTATGTTGATGTTAAGTGCATATATAAGATCATTGTGTTGATGACATTAATTTAGTGGTATGACGTATGACGTACGCTGGCCAGTTTGTGTTTTATGTATGAATATTAATTTGATACTTTGCTGAATAAATATTTTATATTAATCAACGAGTTTTATTCTTTTTATATGGTGTAAGTGCCAAAGGGTGCTAAAGCCAGGAACTTCTTAGCTGTGGAAGTACTTAGTAATATGGCACGTCAAAAGATGGCACAACATGTGGCGCATACTGAAGTACATACTTTAGTTAAACTATTTGCCGTAAGATGGCATTAGCCGTAGCATTAATAATTTTTAAGTAGGGTAGAGTGCTTGTAAAACCAACGTGAAATGTAAAGACATGCGTTTGGATAGAGTCATCTTAGGAGTGAAATTAGAGGTACTCATTTTCGTGTATTACTTTTATAGTGTAAACTTTTACATAATGAAAAAACGCGTTAAGTTTTATGAGTGCCCATAAACAATTGTAATCAATTTAATTACATTTAGCGCAGTTGTGGGCTGTTCTGTTCGATTTACTATTCGTCCACATCTCAGCTTCATAATTATTTACTTATTTCTATCCCTAATAACCGCAAATAACGACGTCGTAATTCTATATCATAAAATAATTATCTAAAATTGCCTTCAACATTTCAACTCGAAGAGGATCCAAAAAGTCTGATTAAACCTGAAAAATTAATTCATTCAACAAAGTAAGTATCCCGCGCGGCCCTAATGTGCTGGCTGACGATATTAAAATGATTGCTCTTTGGCAAATATGGCGGCCGGCTGAATTATACAGCGGAAGCAAATATTTCCATTGCAAACAAGAGTCCCGGGAGAGCGAGCTAGTTCGCGCACTCAAAATTAAAAGCACACAATGAAAATACCGAACAGAGTACCCCTACTCGGATACCTATGTCGCGAAAGTAAGAGTGCTCGAACCCACTCTTAACACAGCGCTGTTTCGACGCTTTGTTGTCAATGAAAACAGTCGCCGGAGTGTTTTTTTGTTTATAGACTCTTCGATGTTGCCACTTGAGAACAAATAGCCGCGGTAACGAGCAATACTCTCTAACAAGCTGAAACAATGTTTTGTCTGCACAATGGATCGCGGCGAGCTGTTATTGTTTCTTTTAACGATCATTAAGTTGCAAGTTAATTCCTACACAAACAATATTTTAAAACTTTGCTTGTATTATTTATAGGAAAAACAAAATTGTTTGATAGAGATAGCAATCCTACTTATAATTTTCTAAAGGAAGGTCGGATATTTGACAAGAAGCGCTTTCAAAATGTAAAGGTCCATCCTGGGTCTTGAGTTGATATATTAACAATTGGACTATTTTAGTCATTTAATTAAAGGGTGCCCGCCAGGTTGTTCGGGTCGGGAATATTACCGCAATTCTCGGTCAACATTCACAAAATTGACACGTCAAATATTTGTAACTTCGTCCTGGGACCACGTTAGATGGCAAACAGAATCGTGTCTGGTCGTCCCTTAATTTTCAATGTTTCTACATTCTGCCTGGTGCAATTCGGTTCGATTTCGAGTCTTAAAGTTTTCTGTGGTAAGGTCGCGTTTGGCGTAGTCAGAGGGAGGTCGAGATAGCCGCTTGTCAAAACAAAATGGCGCTGACTGTGTTTGAATTGGGCCGTATCAGTCGTTGCGGAGATTCATTTTGTCGCGTTGCTTAAGATCGTGGAGTCTACATATTGTCTCTGCACACACGGCGAGTGTCGGCTCGACGGGCGTTAGCTGGCTACAAATTTGTTGTTTCAGTACAAATACTATGATATTGTTTGCAGTTAGACTTTGCGTTCGATCGAGGTTGTTTAGCGCACAGTTGTAGCAAGTCAACACTTGTAAATTGATTGTCTGATCAACAAGACAATGTTAGAAAAGTTAGTCATTGATACAATCGTAGGTACTAGTAGGTACCTACTATGATAAGCAGCCTTAATGAACGCAATAGGCCTGATTAAATCTATTGTTATTTGATACATAAACTATTGCTTTAAATTTGGTTTTATTTTTAAAACTTTAATACGGGCATCTTGTCTCAGACTTTCGTAATCAGATTTTTATAAGTAAATCTTATAATAGTATAACTGTTAGTTCGCTTGTAAATATATGAATATACTATGTGTTGAAACGATTAAACATACATTGGAGTTAAGGATAGACACACAAATTAAGTGTGAGCGTAAGCCTAGTAAACTTATATATTAAATCACCCACTCAATCCGCCTTGTTTAAACTTCAAATTTACCTTTGATTATAAACCACATGTAGTAAATAGTAAACACAAACTTTCAAAAGAGGAGCATACTTAACAAATATTATATTGTAAACTTTACATTGCGACGGTAAATATTAAATAATATGTGTACGGGCAAATAATATTGTCGCTAGTCGTTGAACGTCCTACCTGTCAGAGTTGCCATTATCATAAACCAAACACGTCAATATTTACAACACAAACAAGGGCGTAATTTTTAAATAAATTGTGGCATTTCGCGAAATTGCTTCCGCAAATAGGATTGTGTGTCCACCACTCTTGTCAGAGCAATGTGTGCGCAACTTTTTTCGGGCAGTCGTCGCCGTCGGTCACTGAGCGTGGCTTTAGCACAGGCTATGAAATGCAATTTATATTTCAAATATCAATATTTGACACTTCCGATTCTTTAATGTATTGGCGTCATATTTTTTTTACGCTAAGTACTTCTAAGTAACCGAAAGAATAACTTTTCGATTGATGCTTGTTTTATACTACTCCTCACTAGATGTCGCTAACCAGCCCAATTTTTGTGCTTTAAGGATGTATTCATTTTACGTATCTATTATCTATTATTTATTTATTGAGACATTGGCTATAGAGTCATCAGTATAAAAAGGTAACAAATAATTGGACTCAACTAAAAATTAATACGTGTAAATAATTGAAACTACAAATACATGCCATTTTTTAATTGTAAATGCATCTTATTATCTATTCTGATGCGTTTTTTGTTTTGACTGTTACTGAATATTAGTGAATTTCTCAAAATCTTTCAGAATCAGACACATAAGTTCCGTGTGCCAAAAAATGGCGAGTTTTTGTAGTTATAGTTTATACATGAATTAATTTTTAGTATAAGTTTTACACGTTTTTAGTTTCTTAATTATTTGTTACCTTTTTAAGCCGATGACTCTATAGCCAATGCTCAATAAATAGATAATAATAAGACTGTTAAATGTAATGTATTTGTACTACACCAATACACTTTCGCAAAGGTTTACTTGTGCTGTGAAGTAAGACGATTTTTCAAGCGATTGTAAAGAAAAATATATTTCGTTTTATATTTCTTAAATATTTCATACAAAACTGTGTTCATGAGTAGACGAAATAAATAAAAAACTTTGGCGGCCATCTTGTCTCAGATATCCGTAGGGTGCAGGCTACGGGCTACGAGCAAGTAAGATAATCCCGTCATTGGCCCAACGAGCCCACTCGGTGATGTAAGGGCGGAGTGCGTGTCGGGTTTCATGTGGGGCTAACTAAGGGATTTTAACTTATACGTAACTATCACTTTTGCATATAGCAAATAGGTAGGATGCGTTTATGCTGCCCAGAGTCTATTAAAAATATTTTTGGTTGATATTCATGAAGGTACATACATGCAGATTTGTACAGTAGGTACTTAAGGCATATAAATTCTGAAATTTTCATATAAGGAAAAACACAGATCACACAGCTCAGCTGTAGCATAAAAAATGGTCGTTTTACACTTGACAAATGAGAGAGCCTTAAAGATTCTACGAACGAAATTAATCGATGACTTATTAATGTTTCATTAAATAAGAAAGTTATCGTCGAGTATAGTACAATTACGCGTATCTGACATTGGATTATGGGTTTCTATTAATTCTCTCTCCTGTAAAATCTGGTTTAGTGCAGATAGGCGTCTTTTACATCATTTGTTTCATGTAGTTCCTATTATTTTTATGAATATCGTGTGATAAAATACTTTTGACGTATGACCACATGTGACTATTAGACCAAGTCTAACGCGCGGTCTATGTCAACACTACAAAATTACGGTAGAGGTACAGTAGAGAGCAAAAAAATATTTTTTATGTTCAATCCATTGTCATATTGAAGTTTTATACCAACTTTTCTACTATTACCGTTTATGTTTGTATGCTTAGTGAATCTTTGATCGATCCCCATGAACGGTGATCGGCACCCCAGGCAGATGGCGAGGTATTTACTTAGGATGCAAGCTACGCGTCCGTTCGCAGTTTAAT